TTTAACATTAGACAAAGTCACCATGTTTGACATTTTAACATTAGACAGAGTCACCATGTTTGACATTTTAACATTAGACAAAGTCACCATGTTTGACATTTTAACATTAGACAAAGTCACCATGTTTGACATTTTAACATTAGACAAAGTCACCATGTTTGACATTTTAACATTAGACATAGTCACCGTGGTTGACATTTTAACATTAGACAGAGTCTTCATGGCTGACATTTTAACATAAGCAGAGTCTTCATGGTTGACATTTTAACATTAGACACAGTCACCATGTTTGATATTTTAACATTAGACAGTCACCATTGTTGACATTTTAACATTAGACACGGTCACCATGGTTGACATTTTAACATCAGACAGAGTCACCATGTTTGACATTTTAACATTAGACACAGTCACCATGGTTGACATTTTAACATTAGACAGAGTCACCATGGCTGACATTTTAACATTAGACAGAGTCTTCATGGCTGACATTTTAACATTAGACAGAGTCTTCATGGCTGACATTTTAACATTAGACACAGTCACCATGGTTGACATTTTAACATCAGACAGAGTCACCATGTTTGACATTTTAACATTAGACATAGTCACCATGTTTGATATTTTAACATTAGACAGAGTCACCATGTTTGATATTTTAACATTAGACAGAGTCACCATTGTTGACATTTTAACATTAGACAGAGTCTTCATGGCTGACATTTTAACATTAGACACAGTCACCATGGTTGACATTTTAACATCAGACAGAGTCACCATGTTTGACATTTTAACATTAGACACAGTCACCATGGTTGACATTTTAACATTAGACAGAGTCACCATGGCTGACATTTTAACATTAGACAGAGTCACCATGGCTGACATTTTAACATTAGACACAGTCACCATGGTTGACATTTTAACATTAGACAGAGTCACCATGGTTGACATTTTAACATCAGACAGAGTCACCATGTTTGATATTTTAATATTAGACAGAGTCACCATTGTTGACATTTTAACATTCAACAGTCACCATGGCTGATACCTGTATATATATATTTAAATTTGTAATGCTTTGATACTTACCATCAATGCACTGGGCGAATTTTCATTGATTTCATCTAGACAACCATACTGGAATCAAATGTAAATAAAAGTAAACTATAATGTTGACCAAACAAAGACAATCAATGACCTACCAATTCAAATAGGTACCCAAGGCAGAATCAATTTCTGAGATGGTTAAATTTCAGACAAGAGGCTCAAGGGCCCTAACATTCACCTGAGTTACAATGATTCTTGTAACATATCATAGAAATGATTTTGTAAAAAAAGTTAGACAACTTAAGCTATATTGTACATATAATGCAAATGTACATTGAACATAACATTAACATTGTTGTCCCATGCTCCTTCCGGTAACCAAGTTTAAATTACAAAAATTACAATAAAAATTGAATTTTCCTTTATAAAATCTTCTATCCATGAAAAGTGGAACATCTCTGACATATACACTACAGTAAATATGATCTCCTCCCCAATGAGAAATGTTAGACCCTGGGGTCATGAAATTTACAATTTTGTAAAGAACTGTAAGACATTTCAATCAAAGAAGAGTAATTGCTTCAACTTTATCTGGGTACTGAGATGAACATTTTTTAAAAGTTCAGTCAATTTAATTCATTTTTTTGCATCGCCCATCCGCCGCTGGGGTCAGTCAAGGTCAATATGTGTATCTTATCACACTTTCAGCTTATACTGATATAAAAATTCTAAGTTTGATCTATTTCAAATAGAAAATTAATAAATTATGTTGAAAAATGTAATTTACCTATATATTCTAAACTAAACCCCCTCCCAAGGAGGAAATGTGAAACTCTGGGATCATGAAATTTACCATTTTGGTAAAGCATCTGAGGGACTTTCCATCAATGACGAGTATTTGATTCTACCAAACCTGGGATTTGAGAGGAAGAATTTTGAAGTTTCAGTCAATTTGACCCTTTTAGGCCCACACCCATCAGGCCTCTGGGGGTTTGAGACCATATAATTTACCAATTTAGTGTGCCTATAGCCATGGAAAGTTTTTGTAAAATTTCATTGAAATCGGCACAGGAGTTTTCCAGAAGATGTTGAAAATAATAAAAGAAGCACAGTCAGGGCAATATTCCGTGGAACACTTTTTGTTGGCTGCGCTAGTCAAAAACACCTAGTGATATCACAATGTGGGCAACAATGCTACATTAAAAACAGGAAATGACGGTCTCTGTGTCATTTTGTCCTCCATATTTTAAATTCAAAAACCTGTCAAAATGTAACATTTCTTAGTTATGTGAATAACAGTATATTAAATTTGTTTGCATTAAAATGAAACTTGTCTCAAAGTTTGAATTTTTTCAAATGAAAACTTTCATGATCCTTTTTAAATTAAGATGTCTTCTATGTCTTTAAATATGCTCAAGAAACACTTGAATAATTGATTTTTAATTATGATAATAGGACAAATATGAAATTTCCACAGGCACTTGAAGATCTTACAACTGATGCACACAATAACTTTGGAGATGGTATTTAAACGGGGCATAAACTTATTTTCTAAATATTGCAGTATATTATATATCATGCACAAATTCATGTAATTCATTGAAAAAAGAAATGAAAATGAAGCAAAGGTATCTCATTTACAAACATGAATTTTTCTTCAGTTTTATCATGTAACATTTTCTTGCACTGATAATTGTATGGTACACGTCATTTTCTAAAGATAAGAAAATGCATGTATAACATCACTATATATCTGAGTATGTAATAATGAACAAAACTACCAAGCTTTGATCATGTTTTGAAGCACCAACAACATGAAATTCAGTATAGTAGGTCAAGAAAGAGTACTTTACACCTTTGCTCTGAATGGCATGCTACAAGCCTCCTGTATGTTATTTGATAAGATAGCCATCAATTACTACAAGGAGACCTTGCCTCAAAATGACCCTGGCTGTTCACTGGAGATAAACCCACATTATCTCATCCATGTCAGAAAAATGTCAGGTCTGCAATGAATTTAATTTCAGCTGGGTGCTTAATGGACTGGTTTAAAAGATTATGTGTCATCAATGGATGCAGTTCCTTAAATATGTCATTCATGAACATAGAAGAAAATTATTTTACAACCCATTGGCCATCTTGATGTCAACATTTCAGTGACCCTGGCATGTTGCTTGGTTACATATGTGATCATAAATACACTTTAACAGTGTCATTAAATCCAAGCACTCAAAAGACTGAGACCAAATTGATAGCTTGTTTCTCTCCTATCATACATACGGCTTTTTAGTAATACAACCAAGCAAACAGCATAAAATGTTTTAGAGTTAAAAGTTTTGTTGCTCAGATAGCAGGAAACACAGCTATATTTTATTTTGGCCTAATCAACATGTATATATAAGCAGACTACAGATTTGGATGATGACAACTTTAAAAGTTTGTACAGAATAATTCAATTTCCCTTGTCAAATTTTGAGATGACCAGCTCATTTGACTTGAATGCATAAAAAACCCACTGTTCCGACACTTTGTTTCCTGGGCAGCCGTCGACCACGTCCTCCGGTGGTGAAAGGGGAGTCACTCACACTGCCATAAGATGATGTACTACTGCCACTTCTGAAGGACAGTGGGCTGTAAAGAATTGTTTCAACAACTGTAGGGCATGTAATTATACCATTAGGGTAGACTGTAACACATGCTGACCAAGGAAACCAGACACAACAAGTGCACTGTATGTAGGGGGCAACAAGTACACTGTATATAGGGAGCAACAAGTGCACTGTATGTAGGGGTCAACAAGTACACTGTAAGTAGGGGTCAACAAGTACACTGTATGTAGGGAGCAACAAGTATACTGTATGTAGGGAGCAACAAGTACACTGTATGTAAAGGGCAACAAGTACACTGTATGTAAGGAGCAACAAGTACACTGTATGTAGGGAGCAACAAGTACACGGTATGTAGGGAGCAACAAGTACACTGTATGTAAGGGGCAACATGTACACTGTATGTAAGGAGCAACAAGTACACTGTATGTAGGGAGCAACAAGTACATAGTGTGTAGGGAGCAACAAGTACACTGTATGTAGGGAGCAACAAGTACACTGTAAGTAGGGGTCAACAAGTACACTGTATGTAGGGAGCAACAAGTACATTGTGTGTAGGGAGCAACAAGTACACTGTGTGTAGGGAGCAACAAGTACACTGTGTGTAGGGAGCAACAAGTACACTGTATGTAGGGAGCAACAAGTACACTGTATGTAGGGGCAACAAGTACATTGTATGTAGAGGACAACAAGTACACTGTATGTAGGGGGCAACAAGTACACTGTATGTAGAGGACAACAAATACACTGTATGTAGGGGGCAACAAGTACACTGTGTGTAGAGGGCAACAAGTACACTGTATGTAGAGGACAACAAATACACTGTATGTAGGGGGCAACAAGTACACTGTGTGTAGAGGGCAACATGTACACTGTATGTAGGGAGCAACAAGAGTATACATACCTGGTCACTAGAAACATTTATATAAATACAGGTGGCAAAGTGACATCTTATCTACTAGACCTGATTTAACTGCAATTAATGACCAACCATCTCTTCATTTAGTTATGTTTTCGAAGACCATGAAAGTTAATGAGAATCATTGCTTTTTTAAGACACCTACACATTTGAACTTTAGTTTTAGAATAACAAAGATACTGAAGGATGTATTTATAAATTTACACAGATAATAGTCATTTCATTATGATTTCATGGTCATACACAGCAATAAAGATAATGATAATAAGAGGTGTTCATTTGGAATTTTACTAGTAGCCTAATAATCTTCTCCTGTTACATATATACGTAAGATAAATAAAATCTTACAACCAGTCACCCTGAGGTATTTTTGTTTTTGAGAACATCAATATGCAGATGGTGACATAATTCATTAGAAACAGCTGTCAGTCGGGCTGTAGAAAGAACATAAGTTTAAACCTGGGAGGAGGAATGGAGCTTAAAGAACTGGTCCTGGAAGAGTCGGGTGTTGGGAGACACGATCGTCGTTTGCTGCTTGAAGCTGGTGTGCTGCTCAAAAAGCTAGTAGAACTTCTGTAACAGAGCACATTCAAGAATTCTTATGTCATATCTGGATTATTGCCTGTGTTGTTAAATTCTTCACAATACTAGAGAAGTCCGGGGAAAATCAGGGGGATTCGTGTACAGTCACATATTCTGTACAGATGTTACACAACTGTAACTGTATACATGTAAAAAAATGAATAGATCTCACCAACAGAAATAAAATAACAATGAATTTAAATACATCAACAAATAGAATCTAAAATGAAAAATTGATTGGCTTTAAAGGCCAGAAATCAACAACAAAAAATGACAGCTCCCCTAAAACACTTGGCTTTAAAGGCCAGAAATCAACACCAAAAAATGACAGCTCCCCTAAAACACTTGGCTTTAAAGGCCAGAAATCAACACCAAAAAATTGACAGCTCCCCTAAAACACTTGGTTTTAAAGAACAGAAATCAACACCAAAGTTTATTTGAAAGTATATGACTTATGCTGTCAGGATAAAAGACATTTGAATTTCAGAAACTGGATACTCCATTGTGGAATACTGCTTTACATTCTTGTCATCCCTTCCTAATCAGTAACTTAAATGCTTTGTAGACTTAAACAAAGTTAAACAATTTTACAATGATCAACATTTGACAAGTTGTTTACTGGACATCAATGAGGGCAGTCATGAGTCAAAAATGACAGAACAGTTAATGACTGGTAAAAAATTTCAGGAACTTTGAACAATATGAAACTATCATGGATGATTTTTAATACGTTGTTTAATATAACAATAATGTAGTGAAGTAAGAATTGTGGTAAAATCACAGAAAAATAATATGATCCTACTCTATAACAAAGTGTCACCATAATGTGAAAATAAGGATCTTGTAAATTTTTTAATATATATATGACACAGGTGGTTATGCCATCATCAAAATAAATGATATTGGACCAGGGAAACTGAAGTTTCAAAGTATATCAGTTAATAGCTCTGAGTATGTACACAGGAAATTCCACTATATATCATTATACAGTACTTGAGGTGTTATGACACTTTCTATCAATTAGGAGAGCTGTATTAATGGAAAAAATGTTCAAACAACACAATGAAATAAGTAACCAAGAGAAGAACGCATTCCGTTTTAAGACTGATAAATGACCTACCCCGAGCTTGATGGTGTGGCTGTAAATGTGCTGGACAGGAGTTTGGGTTGGACATTCTTCTGTACTTTGATTGGTGTGGATGTGGAAACATCTTGATTAGAGGAGCTCGAGACTGTCCTGACACTGGGCTTTCTCTCCACTGGAAATAACCACAAAAATAAATACTTTTTCCCTTTTTTTGAAGCCCACAGTTCAAACCCAAGAGGTATAGCTAAAATTACCTCTTCATCAACTCTTATTTTCAGGATGTAATGTTGCTGGAATACTTGAATGCATTGACTAGCAAACATACATATGTATTGATATCTCTACACACATCAATGTCCAGTATTATATTTCTTTTCTAAGCTCCTTATTGACTACACCTGATTCAGTGGGGGTCACCAAATATTTATTCAAATCACAAAGACTTCCTTGAACGATAGCGTAAAATATAATCATTAAAAGGATTTTTAGCTATCATTATTTCACAGAATAATTACAAGAAATGTTGCTGAGATATATGTTTGATGGTGACAGGTTTCCTATCCCTGTAGCTCTTCCGATCATTAGCTGTTGTCTCACAGACAAATGCCAATGATCCTAGTCTCAACCTAACAAATCATTTTAAATTAAAACTGAAAGCCATGAATATTTAGAAGATATTTTAGAAAATAATCATAATTAAGTTTGAATGTTTTAAATGATGTCTATTCAAATTGTACTTAGATATCACTTAGAGCTGAATTTTCTATTCTTATTAAAGCAAACCTTAGCATGTATAAAACAAACATGTGCATGGCTAAAACAGAACTGTGTAGGAGATTAAAACAAACCTGTGTTTGACTATGACTAAGAACAATACTGTGTTTGAGATAAGAACAATACTGTGTTTGACTACGACTCAAACAAAACTGTGTATAAGATAAGAACAATACTGTGTTTGACTATGACTCAAATAAAACTGTGTATGAGATAAGAACAAAGCTGTGTATGAGATAAGAACAAACCAATGTTTGACTATGACTAAAACAAACTTATATTTGACTATGATTAAAACAGACCTGTGTATGAGATGAGAACAAACCTATGTTTGACTATGACTAGAACAAACCTATGTTTGACTATGACTAAAACAAACCTATGTTTGACTATGACTAAAACAAAACTATGTTTGACTATGACTAAAACCAACCTGTGTGAGATGAGAACAAACCTATGTTTGACTATGACTAAAACAAAGCTGTGTATGAGATGAGAACAAACCTGTTTGACTATGACTAAAACAAAGCTGAACATGATAAAAGCAAACCTGTGCGTGACTGGATTCCAGGTGGAGCTATAGCCTTTATTGGGCCATTGGATGCTTTGGTGTTGCTTGGCATGGCTATAGCCTTTTTCTTGATCTGACCAGGTTGTAATAAGCTTAGCTTGGAAGCTGGTCTCTTACTGCCGGGAACTTCAGATGATTGTGTGGATTTGGGCCCTGAGATAGTGTAGGATCTGTTCAGTTTTGTACCACCTCCATTGTTGGGAACCTTTAGTTTACTATCTTTATCTGATCCTGGAGTGATTGTACGATTTCCTGCAATATTACTGGTTGTATTAAGTGATCTACGATTCATTGATGTACCAGTATTCATGCTTCTATTTGTGGACAAGTCACTTTTTACAGCTAAGAAACTTTTAGGAGGTTGAATTGTTCGTCGACTTGAATTATTTGTTGATTTAGTTGATGAAGTGTCAGCAGAATTATTTGTAGATTGGTCCGATTCTTTAGTTAAGTTTTTAGGAGGTTGTAAAGATCGTCTCAAAGAGGTTCCGGGTCTACTGCCTGTGGTAGTGACAGATGGAATGCTAGATGTGTCCACTGCTTTGACAGCCATATGACTCTTGGGAGGCTGAAGTCTTTGTGCTGGTCTTGCAAGTCCACTTTTTCTGTCCGGCACCTGAATTATATGAAAATGCATAAAGTAGAGATAAATCATATTTAACTCAAACTAATACAACCACTGAATTGTCTTCATTATGACTTAATCCTTAAAAATCAGGAGAAATTAATCCAATCAAAGCAGCAAAAACCAGTAACAAAGGAAGTACAGCAGACTTGTACAAAAAAAATTTGAATCAGGCAATCATTGAAGTTCTTGGCTACTCTTTGACTTTTACATCTCCTGTATCAAAACATGTTTCTAGTGAATAACATCTTATTTTAAATTTATTTATTTTAACAGGTTTTACGTCCACTATAACGACCTTTCCATCTTTCAGCGGACAAGTGTTAGTAACATCTACCTAACAGACTACAATATACTATTCTACAACCATGAATCATACCCATCTTAATTGGCAATGATTCACTTTCTTGAAAATGTTTCAATCACAAGTTGTGTTAAAATAAATCACACACACAAAAATAAAACTGGTTCACAGAAATGCTTTGAACACAGCTTCTCAAAGCTAATGTGTAGACGGCGTCTGAAGAGCAATTCATTAGTCTCACATGTGCTCCTTCATTGCAGCAAGATGAAAGTACACAACTGTTGTCCTTTATAGAGAAATTTAACCTCTGACATTTCACCCATCTAGGGTTCTTCATTACACACAGTAGCTCCTACTTCTAAGTACTAGAACAATAATTAAGTGCTAAGTATTCTATTTCAGAAAAGTCTTATACTAAATGCCACTGAAGAGTGGTTATGATTTTATTTGTGAACAGTGACTATGCTTTCTTCATCATTACTATAGGACTGATGCAGCAATTACTTAAACATCAAAAACTTTTAAAAGTCCTAGTTGACATCCATGCAAGAACATAAGTAAGTTGAATATTTCCTTTTAACAGTCTGGAATTATTAATTTAGATTAAACAAATCAAACTGTTTATTGTCACCTTGCTAGTCAGTGCTTGTTTGATGACAGGTACAGGTTGGCTGGTTCGCAATCCGACATCTGACTTTACTGTCTGTACTTCATTTTCTGTTTGTTTATCTTCCTCAGGCTTCTCAGCAGGTTTTGTCTTAAATATCTAAAAAACAATCACATAAAATAATAGATGTTTAAAAGTGACTATATTTTTTTTTTTTTTTTATTTTGTTTTTCAAGATTTTACAAAGGTATGCAACACACGATATATACTAGACTCACATACACATACACACCCTTGCACACATCACACTACACCCATGTACACTCACCCAAAACATGCACTCATTATTTCCTACTCTTTCCTCCTTGCTGACATGACATACAATGTACTACTGTGTTTCATTCACAAGCCCCAATAATAATACAAACTCAATGACTGCTGTCATCATCATCGTCGTCATTGTCGTCGTCGTCGTCGTCGTCGTCGTCGTCATCATCATCATCATCATCATCATCATCATCATCATCATCATCATCATCATCATCATCATCATTATCATCATGATCATCATGATCATCATCATCACTTCATTATCATGATCATCACCATATCATCATCATCATCATCACTATCATATCATCATCAGCAGTAACACATATTCAGCATCGTAATCATCATACCATCATCACCACTTCATCATCAACCAGAAGTGCAAGCATGGATTGGGAGTAGCGAGATATGCCCCACATAACAGCCTTTCCATGTTGCAACTTCTGCTTGTTTGAAACAAAGTGTAATTCACATTAAAAAAAAACATAAAAAAAAAAAAAATCTTTGTAAATAATTGAGGTGTGAATAGCTGGTGATGATTCTTTGTTATCTGCCCTTGTTGTCAAAGATTACACAGAGCATAGTACAGCCAGACTAAATGATAGCATAGAGGAAATATCAATAATTAACATTATACATAGATTGCTCTCTCTCACTGAATCATTCTCTACAATTACAGAAACAGACAAAGCAATGAAAACAGAAATAGGAAGATAAGGGAGGGGGGAATGACATAAGAAGTCCATGGGATGTTGAAACAAATTTTTTGCTAAAGACAGTGAAACAAAGATATGACAGCACTGTCAAGGATAAAAAGTATTATAATTATTTAAATATTCAATTGGATAAGGTTTTCCCATTTTTTCCAATCATTTGTGAAATTTTGTTTGTAAGACGTGTTTTTGCTATTTGAAATATATTTTTGAACAGAATAGTGATTTTGTATAATCTTTACAATGGCGTTGATATTGAGAGTAGCATGGAGGCATCTTGTTTTATATATATAATGTTTAATCATAAGAATTACTTCATTGTTAACTCTAAAGCTAGGGCTATTGTTCCTTTTAATTCCAAGTATAAAAGACTGTTTGTTGACTGAGAATGGTATTAATAAAGAATCTGTTAGTGTTTCAAATGATTGTAAAAAGTTTTGCACTTCCTGACATTCCCAAAGGAGATGAGTGATCGATTCTCTTTCTGAGTTGCATAGATTACAAAGTGGACTGGACACAAGTTTTGCCTTAAAAAGCCTACTATTAGTTGTCAGAATGTGATGAGAGATCCTATACTGGAGCCATTGAAGTTTGGTATTTTTTGCAATTTGAAATGGCATTTTGTAGAAAATTTCCCAATCACTATTTGTTAAATCAAACTGCTCTCCCCATTCAGCTTTACCAGTTGACTCTCTCCGAGTTGTATTTAAAATATTATAAAATATTTTTGAACCTTTTAAATGCTCGAAAAACATCTTTATATATAATGGTATTACAGGCCGCTGAGAGTCATTCTTCACAGGTGGATTATCTCTTAGGAATTTTTTAACTGCAGAAATGATAACTTGATAGTTCAAAAAGTTAGTTGTCACATTGTATATTCTCTGAAAGTCTTGAAAACTAAGAAAATTATTAGTATTACCAGCTTCTAGTAAGTCTGCTATTGTTCTTATCCCTTTTCTATACCATTGCTTATAAAAATTTGATTTTGCAGATAGAGTGATATTTCTATTAAACCATATAGGTATTTCCAAAACTGATTTTTCCTTTCCTGTACACATTTCATTTGTTGTTTGTAGTTTGTACCATACTCTGAAAACATCTTTCCAAAATTTATTTTTTATTTCATTTTTGCAGTTTTGTATATACTCACCTCCAATATTCAGTAGGATGTCAATGTTTACATTAGTCTGTAATATTGCAGACCACTTACCTGCTCTATGATAAAGTCTCCTTACCCAACTTAGTTTTAATGCATCTGCAAAAGCTCTTATATTTATCATTTCTAAACCACCATTTATAAGGTCTTGCATCACTACATTTCTCTTGATTTTGTCTATTTTACTACTCCACAAAAATTCAAATATGATAGATTCGATTGTCTTAAATGTTTTTTCATCAGGATTTGGTAAAGCTATAAAGAGGTGGTTCAGTTGAGAAATTAAAAGGGATTTTATTATGTGTATTTTACCTATTGGTGTAAGATTTCTTCTTTTCCATGTATTTATAAGTGCTTTTAGCTTTACTATTTTCTTGTCATAATTAATTTTTGGCATAGCATGAAGATTGACATCAAATTCTACTCCTAGAAGAGTAAACCGCTCTTGCCCCCATTGTAGATTCAAATCTGGTAAAAAAGTATCTTCACTATACTTCTTAGACCCTATCCATATAATCTGGGTCTTATCAATGTTTACTTTAAGACCTGAAATGCTAGCATATGTATTAAGTTCTTTTAAAGATTCCAATAATGATGGTTCAGATCCATCAAGTGTGAAAAAAGTGTCATCAGCGTATTAAGATAGCAAAATAGGAAGCTCACCTGCTTTGATGCCTTTAATTCTATGGTTATTTCTAATTCTAATCGCTAGAACTTCAGCACAGAGGATGAAAATATAGGGTGCGAGCGGGTCGCCTTGTCTACAGCCCCTTCTAATATCAAAGAAAGCAGATAAGTTACCTCCCTGGTTAATTGAAGCTGATACATTTTTATGTAGCGTTTTAAACCATACAATAATATCATTTTTGAATCCAAAATAGATTAAAACCTTTTCAATAAACTTCCAAGAGACAGAGTCAAACGCTTTTTCAAAGTCTACCATTAAAATCATACCTGGTACATCATTTTCTTCTGCATATTGCATTAAATCATATAGTAGTCTAGTGTTTTCTCCTATATAGCGTCCCAATAAAAAACCAGTTTGATCCATATTAATTAGCTTGTCTAAAACTGACTTAATTCTATTAGAAATAACCCCTGTTGCTATTTTGTATGTAACATTTAATAAGGATATTGGACGCCAGTTTTTAATAAATTATCTAGGCTTATTTACTTTAGGAAGGCAGGTGATCACTGCTTGTCTCTGAGTAACTGAAAGTTCTCTATGTGAATACCCATAACTTAAAGACCTGACAACATAAACGTCTATCTTATTCCAAAAAAATTTTAACAATTCTGCAGTGAACCGATCTGACCCAGGACTTTTGTTGTTTTTCATATTCTTTAAACATTTACTGGCTTCTTCTAATGTGATTAAACTTTCTAAATTTTCAGCTTCTGTTTCAGAGAGTTTAGGAATACTGTTAAAATTTAGATATTCATTTAAATTAATGTCTGTAATATTTCCTTCTTCATATAGATTCTCATAAAACAATTTTACTGTTTCTAAAATTTCTTCCTGTTTTATATAGTTTTATAAGTGACTATATTATTGGTATAGATATCAATTGCCAAGTACAACTAGCACCTATCCATGAGATGTTGTAGCAAATATTAAGGACACACTTATAAATAAATGTAGTCTATTGAACTTTTACAGTTAAAATTTCTGATTTTTGACGAATCATGAATTTTTTTGGCAATAAAGCCTTTATACTTTAGCTTACTGAATCAATAAAAAATTAACAACTTGAATATATGACACTTACCCCTTGTAAACTTTTCTTAGCTTTGTTAGCTGGAGGTACCACTCCTGATCTTCGGGATTTTGACCCTTTTGGTGTTAAAAGTTTTCTCCCCTGCTGCAACAAATTTTCCTTGTTACCTTTGGTGACAGTGTTTCCATTTTTCTTGCTGGCACTGTCAGGTTTGTTCACAATCTCTACACTTGACTCCTCAGACTCTATAATAGGCAGAGATAACAGTTTAAGAGGACTGTTTTCCATGGTGAATGTTCCACTGCGTGAATGTCGTTTTTTAGGGGGAGAATCACTGTCAATGAATGGAGAATTTTTACAATCTGTCTTCAGTCTGTAAGCAACTAATGCAGCCTCTTTGACAAGTTCTGCCATTTGACCCGCATTAAGAGGGCTTAATGGCTTTACTTCTGGTGCTACAGAGTGAGCTACACATCTCTCTGTAAATCCTACAGGTCCAAAGAAAACTTCTTCATCCTCTTCTTCTTCCTTACTGTTTTCTATTGACCTGCAGGGATGAAATTAACTGGTGTAAAACAGTAACTTTTTTGTGTCTGTGCATAGAAATCAACTTGATGTCTTCACTAGAACTCCAACACCAGTAAATAATGCAGAAAGATATTCAAAAGTATGATCAAACTCAAGCCTATACTATATACATAGTAAATGAATTAGTATGACACATGAAAGGAGAAAAGTGTTATGATTGGTAAAATATGATCAGGTATCTATACTGCTGTCATAAAAGCTCTATTCTGGGTGATACCAGCTGTCAATTCACTGACCTGAGATGACCTCAGTAAAATATGTATGAAACAGAGTATTCAGTTTTATTTATAGATAATAATTAAAGTTCATTTTTCAGTTTAGTGCCTTAATAAACTTCTTTGTAAATGCCATCATGATTTCATACATGTGAGTCAGTCTCTCATATCTGAAAGGTCCTTCATTTTTACTGCATCTACTTAACTCTGAAATTCATATCTAAATTAATAGTCAGATTCAAAACACACTATTTACCTTGAAGCTGGAGACAAGGCAAAGTCAAAATCAAATATCTCATCTTCCAACATGGTGATAACTGTAATACAAGAAATAAAACATATTTTCATTTCCCCGTGTCTGTGGTGAATTTTAACAGATGTTTGTAATTGATATGGATTTCTAAAAATAGTCATGGTGACACTGACCTTGCCCCTACAACTTTGAATTTTACTTTCTGAGATATGGTTTTGCGTAAGCAGTTGAAATGGTTGGGTACTAATTTGACATGTGCAGATTGAGGAGTTCGGTCTTACTTATCCTAAGCTAACTTGTTGAATATCATTAGTTTTCAGAACTTTGGTTACACAAAAAGTGGCCTTAGTCTTTTAAGAGTGTGTGAAGTTTTATCAAAATTCCTACAAAATAAACAAATCTGTTCAAGTTCAAGCTCTTTATTAGCCTTGAGCTTTGCAGCTCATCAGGAACAAAAGAACATACATCTCAAATCTGTCATGACATAGTTCTACAGTGCTGCACTGTTGATTTACACAGTGATAGGATCTAGAATGATGACAAGGAATTTCTAAAAAATAGTGATGACCTTGACCATATATTACAACCCTGAAAACTGGACTTGTCAGAGATATTGCAGTCTTTCATAGCTTTAAAGTTTGATCAAAATCCATCAAGAAGGAAAACAGATGCTAACACACTAACAAATTTGAGCTGCTACATACAATGTTATGTATGTACACCAACCATATGATAGCATTCCCTCAGACATTCAGTCTCTTAGGGAATCGCAGAAAGATGGTCATTAGGATGATTCTTTTCTTTGCCAGTGTAAAATATTGATGCACAATCATGTCATAAAATGGCTACCATTACTGCCTTGTCCAAGTTTTAACAGACAGAAAGCTTTGTTGGTATCCTTTCCTTAACATCTTCACAATTTCTCACAAATTAAGGTAAATTCTCAGCTCCATTTCATCATTGGAACTGAAGATGATGTTAAAACTGTGCTTTTAAACACTGCAGCAATGGACTTCTACATCATTATGTTATGTTTTCACAAGATATATCACAAAATAAGGTACATACCTGGACTAGACATAGTATTACCACAGGTAGACTTCTCTGTGACATCTCTCAGGATGCGGTGATGCAGGGCTCCAGGTGTGGATAAAGTCAGACTATGACGACGGTCACTTTCATCACTACGCTCAATCTCAATGGAATCTGAATACATTCAAAGTTCAAAGTTGCAAGCAATAGGACTACAAACTATAACAAGAGTACCACAAAATCTGAATATGATGAAATATAGTTTATTGTTATAATGAAGAAAATAAAACAACTAAATTTTTATATAACAAAACATCATTAACCAGTGTAAGTAATTAGTATGCTGATTTTGCCTTACTACTTGTCAGGGTCAGCGATTTACTACCTCGGACCCTTCCTATATATTGGAAAGTGTTGGCTCTTTTCCCTCTTTTTACATTTTTTGAATGGTCTTTTTGAATTCATATTTTATTTGCACATAACCCAAATGTTCTTCAACTAATCCATGATTAATAACATGTGCCTGAAAATTTTATCTTTATCATATGATTATGTTCACTGTTACATGTGGTGGTGGATTTTAAAAGATAATTTCCCAATGTTCCTTAAAAGTTGGGTCTTTTTCTTCCTTTATCTTATCTCCACTCTTTTTGGTCTTAAAAGTAATTTGAAAATTCATCTCAAAAAATTGTGATGATAATCTTTAGCTTTAAAATCGAAGATGGTCACATGTCAGCCATTTTGTTTTTTCTCATCAGTCCCAAAATGGATTATGCATAACCAGGGACCAAGTTGAACATATGTGTGTAATTTTAAAACAACCTATCCAATACATCTCCGGAAATAGCGATAACAATATATAACTGTCGAACTCTAATATGGCCACCTGTTAACATGGTTTTCCCCAAATCAGTCCACATTTTTCCAATCAGTCCCAAGATAAGCTATGCACAACTCGAGAGAAAGAGGATCATTCATTGAAAATTTGAGAATTATCCAAACGGTACTTCTTCAAAAACAGGGATAGCAAGATTTGTTAAAGGATGGACAGAAGAAAATAAAGCCAGATGGAGAGCAATAAGAATAAACAATTATCTAATAATGGTGGGCAAAAAATGTCAATTTAGACAAACACAATTTAATTAGCATTCATATGTTATTATTGTATCTACAAATTATTTAAGAATTGAAAAAATCATTTTACCTATGGTTGCATCTGCATTTTCCTTGTTGCTAGTATCTCCTTTTAACTTAGATGAAATCTGTGGACTTTGATTGCTGATGAGAGGATGTGAAAAGTCTACAGGAGATTCCATCTCTGGAGGAACAGTGATATCAACCAATAAAGCCTGCTCGTCTGCAAAGTTATAGCGTGAAGCTGAGTAATACAGTTGAAAACAATTGAAAGTCAACAGAATATCAACAATTTCTGTTATAATTCCACAGTAGGTGATATAGTACACTTCATAGGGCAGATAAAAAAAACAATGTCATCCACTGATAATATACATAAAAGTGTTTAAGATGTAAGTTATCTAGTCAAGTACAAGAGCTGGTATATTCAATAAATGTGTAGCTGAAGCTAATATTCCTCTTGTATTTTCTGTTCATACATTAAAACTTATGTATCATTACATAAGTGCAGTTATGAACAAACACAAACTTGTCTAGATGTTTTTAAGTGAACAATTTGTTAAACAGGGTGTGCAGAGAAAAAATGTAAATGCATAACATAAGGCTACATGTGCGTGAATATGTTCTTTACATGTGATAAGTTAATCATCATTGGTTAGTCCAGTCATGTGATTGGTCAAGTTTCACAGGTCACATGACCTTCAGCAGCAACAATAATTAATTGAGTGCCAATAGTGTTTTCAACTGCCACCACCCCACCTCCCGACCATAACAGATGATGCCTTGGGACTATAACAGCATCTAAATCATAAGGCATTTTAAATACTTGCCAGCTGTTTCCGAGCATAGACAAATCATATCTATATTATGTTATTTGTAAGCCCATCCCCCCCCCCACCCAAGAATTCTTTTATCAAGTTTATTTCCTACAGTTATATGGACTCAGCCAGCAGCTTCTCCTTCTAAGCCTATTTATGTCAACTGGGTCTAACTAAAGTCTAGTCAAGAACTACAGCTGTTATAGCCCCTTAACATTTAATTCATGATACTTTTAACTAAAAGATTTTAACAATTATACCTTCCATTCTGAGAAAATTTCATCCAGATGATGAGGTAAAAGCATTCATATGTGAGTAAACGAGGACCTGAAAAATGAAAGCATGAATTAGCTGGTGAATGAATGGTATTACTGTATAAATGTAACTACATAAAGGATCCATTCCAATCTAGCACTTGTTTTGAGTGTAATCTTGTCACAAGACAACTTAATAATCACAAGAGGCTCAATGGGCCTACATTACTTGTGGTATTCAATGTACATCAAAATTAGAATCAATGTTTATCAGAAATATACTGTATACTATAGAATTCAATAGGGGCACACCCAATCAATTCTAACCAATTTTTACAACCTCTAATACTCTTAACAGTGACAGTTATGACTTGGATTATAGGTAAATTTCATTTCTTTTTTACTTGAAATTTGTCATGCTTTGACCTGGAAACACTTTTCCGCAAAATATCCTGCTTTTTGAAATTCATGTTTACAAGAATGGTTTTAACAAATTTGACCTATGTGACCTTCAATATTCAGGCATCAGCCTAGGAACCCATCAGAAAAATAATATGGGTCAAGGTAATTTCTTTTCAAGACTTTTCTGGCTTCATCTTAGGAACCTGTCTGCCAAATACCATACCTTTGTGCCTTCTGATTATTCAGAAGTAGTCACTTTAAGTTTTTACAAAGTCAACACATGTCACCTTGTCAAGCTTATTTCTTTTCACAAACTTTGTCCAGTTTCATCTTCAGAATCTATCAGTCCAAAATCATGTTTCTACGCCTTTTGGTTAGTCAGAAGAAGTTGATATAAGGTGTTAACAAATAACTATGGTGACCTTGAATATGGTCATTTCTTATAGCAAAATTTGTTAGGCTTCATTCCAGCCTCCCACCTGCCAAGTACCATTACATTTGGTCAGCTGATTATTGAAAAGATGTAGTTTAAATTGAGAAGTTGACGCCTGACTGACAAATGACCAATGCCACACCACGGCGTAAGCCTTTTTGGCCGTGAGTAATAATAGCTAGTAACAAGCCTTTTCAAAATTTTACCTTTTGTGTTTCATTTAAAGAACATTAAACCTAAAAAAATTAAACAGAGGATTGATAATCAGAATCCTTATGACTAACCATTACATAACTTTACATGGAAAGAGAATACTTCAGTTGTGTATTTTTCTTTTTTCGAAAAGTCATAAAGGAGTATAGTCAACCTGTTAAACTAAAAATTACGTCCTTCGATTAATGTGCTGATATTTGCAGGCCAGTTCCGATGTATGCCCAACATGATTTATCCACACTATTGAACCGTGCACGGACAAGACGGAGGGCAGGTCACGACGAACCAAAGGGAAACTCTTACGTTGGGAATGAAGGAAATGGAATCTACATGTAAACTATACCTGTAATATATTTCAAATGTCAAGAAATTAACCTGTCATAAACTATATTTACATGGCTTTAAAATTACCTTATTTTGACGTTAAACCACCTGTTTGTATTTCCCACTCGTAATTTAAAGGTACTCGCCAGATGTCGCTGCAAATTTGCGATTTCTGATTGGACAAAATCAAACGGAAGCGGAAATGTGTCGAGAAAGAGCTTTTGTCGTAAAACTCCTTTCTAATAAAACTTTAACAGCATTCAAAGTTTCATATAATATGTAAGATATCGACGTAGAATTTATATGACTGACTCACAGGTATCTTTAAAAAATAAAAGACCGTGATAGAATTGAAAAGGTGTCGCAAATGTTCGTTCAAAAACCAAGATGGCGATCGAAATTGAGGAACCAACTTTGTTTGAAAGTGTTTTACACTATGGACTCCTTTTGGGAGCGTTATTCCAACTTGTTTGTGTATTTGCTGTTATATTTATACCAAAAAGCGAACAAGATAAGGTAAATGATAGCTCTAAAAGGATAAAGTTAGAGAGGAACAAAGTTTTAGCTGCGGCCTTTCGTCACATGGTAACGTCTAAAAGTAACGAAAAAGAGAATACACTCGGCAAATGAAGCAGTGCCGTTGATCGAGTTTAGTTCTTGCGTTTTAGTCTTTTGTATTGATCCTGCTTCTCAAATAACATTTAAAATTATTGTCAACAGCCAGTAGGTTTATAAGCTAACATAACAAAGTTTATAAAGAATGAGGTTTATAACATACATGCATACCTGTATGGAAATAAACAACAATTATTCACTTTGTGTTTAGGACAGTGAAGAAGATTTAAAACAACTAAATGCTGGACAGAGCAGTGGGCAACATTCACAACATCCGTCCATGAAGAAACATAAGAAGGAAAAGAAGAAAAATCGATGACACTCGGCTTACGTAGTCGTAGAACAACAAAGTTTGTACTTCTGTGTATGTATTACAATGTTCATACACTTGTACATGGTGTGCATAAATTAACCTTTATGTAAGCATATTATAACATTTAATAGCCAAGTGTTTACACTTCTCTCCTAGTGAGAGTGCCTTCTATCCCGAGGAAATTGTGAGTTTAACAGCTCTATTGTCCCAATACACTTGAGTTCACCTGTAGTTTCATTGCAGGCCCCAATACACCTCTGTTGTTTTGTCAAAGGGTCAATGCTTGCCCGAAATCAAATGCATGGAAAAAATTATGAAATCTAACCATTCCGTCCCTTTAAGCCCTGATGAAACACTTGTAAGTTTGACCTGGCCCAAATACACATCTGTTGCTGTTCAAGTGTTGTTTGGCCCTTAAAATAAAACACTTCCCGTCCAAATACAGTTTTTGTCTAGTGATAGTTCCAACCCTTTCTATTCTTGTTCTACAACAATTCAGATCATTCGTACAAAACAAGAGATTGTACATTAGGTTTTACTATTTGTGAAACATGTGTATGACCAAGTAGTTGGTTTTGTTATCCATCTGTGTGATTCTTCCTATCATGGTGCATTGTTTCACAGATGACTGTCAGTGTTGTGGCAACATTTCTAATAACCAACTGATACCAATAGGGCCAAAAGGATAAAACTTAACCCCCTTTCCAACCACCAGAAAAAGAAAAAACTAATATTTTGCATGTATCATTGGGGGCCTTCCACAGCTGGCATTGGTTTCATGATGTCATGTGAATTCTGATTTCACTAAAAAAGGGAGATATAGAGTAGGAATATTGCTGTTTAGATTTTGAATTAGTCTGATATACTGTTATGCTGTTTGAGAAAGTACCTAAGTTATGCAATAAACAGATTTTAGCTTCCTTTATTCATTTCATATGAGAATTATGAAACTTGTCACATATAGTATACAATGTACTTAACCAAGGACTCCACCTGAATGAAACTGGTATTTTCCCTTCTGTTCAAATGTTGTCAAACTTTTCATGCAACTTCACCAGATGTTCGCTAAAAAGAAAATTCTCTCTTTTCACTAATCTTATATGAAAGGAAACTGGTGTAAGATTCTCTACATTGTCAGCTATAGTTTGAATATTGTCAAATATTCTCATTTGTTCTACAGGTACGCAAAATGGACAAGTGCATTCAAAAACTTGTGGAGCCTGTAGTAAACTGTCATACCATTACTGTGAAGTGTTGCAACACATATCAAGACTTGCATTCCACCTTGGGGGACAATTAGCACGAGATCATGTTAGACATGCTTACTCCATAACCATACATTTATAACTTAATGTTTCATTGTGGATTTGATCATTGTGTATTAGCTATATTATGTAGATATTTACATGTCTTTTATATATTTTTGTCATGTTATAGATAAAGGCTTATTCTTTTATTTGAAGTGTTGGTCTTTGTTTTACTATAAAGGGATATCTCTCACTTATCTTATCTCTCTTTATATCCTTGTCATTCATATTTCATACGACATAAAACTATATAATTCAAGCTTCACGTAAATATATATTTTGATTTCAGTTCATGGTATCATGTAATAATCTGGCACAATGTAGCAACATAGGTTTGGGAAATCTGCTGTTGGTGTATTGCACCTCCGTTGTGACATTAAATAGCTGATGTCAGGAGATAGGATCACACCTCCATTATGACATTAAATAGGTGATGTCAGGAGAGGCAGATCCCATTTCCATTTTGACACTAAATAGCTGATATCAGGAGAGCTTGATAACATTTCCATTTTGACATAATGAAGATGATATAAGGAGAACTAGATCATATCTCTATTCTGACATAAACTGATGTCAGGAGAGCTGGATCACATTTCCATTGTGACATGCACACTGATTCTAAGTTCTTGATGGCATATTTCACTGAGGAAATGAATGTTTTACTTATATAGTACAAATGTACCAGAAATGAATGGAGTTCATTTAGTATGGTTTAATTTCTTGTGTTCTTTCATGTCATGACCTATTTAATATATAGAAAACATCAGTGAAATATAAATAAATCTTTGGGTAAATAAAACCTAGTTTCAGTCATTAAATAAAGTACAATGTGGTTCATTATTACCAACTATTCCTTCAGTAAGATTTTCATTCTCAATAGATCAGAAAAACCAAAGTTGTACCAGTTTAAGTATGGTTTATTTATCAGCCATTTTCTTTTAATCCACCTGCTAATATAACAATACACAACAATAATTTTCAGTCATTATAATGGAGTAACAACAAGATGTGGCCATAAATGAAGAAAAAATTGTATGAAAAGAAAAAATATGCAAGTTACAGAAATAACTTGTAAAATGTTAATCTTTTGCCTTTAATACAAGAAAAAGATAGTTTTACATTACCATTTTTTTATATTTCAATTACAAATGTATACACTTTTTTGTGGCATTGAATTACTACACTTCACAACAGCACATCTTTTACCTTTGGCCTTCAATTTCTGTGATCTGGAAATTAAACTTATTCTTGGTCTTGGTGACTAACCATGCATTGTAATATGAATCATTTTGTCATAAAACTTTACTTATCTTCAAAAATCACCAAAATCTTTGTAGCATTTGCTTTGTACATATGTACTTCTCTACAAAACATCAGACTAACATGACAGATTTTTTTGTTTTTCACGTTTATTATTTGGCAAAATGTACCAAGGAAAATAAAGTACAATGACGTATTAGAATGATCTTACTCAAATCTCATTCAAATTTAGAACAAAAGGGTTTGCATATTATCTATGCCAACTATATACCAGTGAGATGTTAGATGCATACCAATACATGTACAATTACACAAACTCTGAGGAGAACTGTGAGAGCAGCTGATATCCAATGTTTAACCACAAACAGAAAATAAGAGAACTACAAGTTCATGTCTTGCTGTCCCTTCTTTGATTTTTATCAAATGATCAAGTCCAAATACACAAAACTGCTACATTGGATTTTGTAGTTGATTTAGAATTGGCAAGATAATAATGACAATAGACGGCCATAATAATTGGGTCTTCAACAGAACATCAGAAATTTGACAATTGTCTGGAGTATCCCTTCAAATAACAATACTTAGAGTCTTTATTTTTGTCCTGATGAATGGTACATTCTATGATCTAAGTACATTAGAACTTATCATTACTTGTCACCTTAATATCAATCACAAACAGATTAACTGATCATTATTTAACATTTGTTTTGAACACTGGTATATTAGTAAGCATGTATGATAATGTGGTTTCTTATGTCAACAAGATCCTCTTAAGCTCAAAAGATTTTTTCATTTTCAAAAGCACCAGAGTTTGTACTAAATTGGGTTATGGTTTCATTTAAATTTTTTGAGAATATGGGCTTAGCACAATTCATAACATTGATGTTGAAGCAATGGAAAAGTAATCACTTTGGTCTTATCATTTCTGCTCCTTCTGCTGCAATGACCTTTGAACTTGTCCTATTATTACCAAAATAGGGTATTTCAATTTATATTATGTAAATACAGGCATCATAATAGACAAAGTATTTTTTGTTACATAGTTCCCTTACACAATTCTCAGATGTACATGACAGGCTTATCACTCTACCAATGAATTGAGTGAAAGGAAGGGACACAACTCTGGTAGATCTGTATGCGTGCAAAACATTTGAGGAGATATGAATAGATATCACAACTAATATTGCTGAAACTTGTATCATGTATAGAGCAAGAGTGAATGTTCTGAAATATTTTCACTCACTTGCCATTACAAGTGCAAATACTGAAATAGCATTGAAACATATCTTCTTAATCAGAGCAGTAAATTTATCAAGATCAACTAATCAACATTTCAATACCACTGATTAAAGAACATATTCCTAAGCACAAGTATTTTTTTGTTACAGTTGAACTGATCAAAATATTTCTATATGATACATGTTCATACATGAGTGAACAATGTACTGTATTTAAAATAAGAATTTGTAATAATTCTGTAAGCAACACTTCTAAACACAAGCTAGTATATTTACAAACTTAGTAGAATTGACCATAGTCAGATTGCGGTCTCTGAGGAGGGGGATGCATTGGAGTACTTCCTGGGCGGGGAGGGGGAGGCCTCTGTGGGGGCCCAGTCCATGGTCCCCTTGGGTTTTGCCCAGGTCCAAAGGGTGAATTTTGCTGATTTTCATCGAAGTGTCCATGAGGAGTAGGGTAGCGAGGTTGGCTAGTAGGGATGTGTGTTTGTGGTGCAGGAACTGGACCTGGGGGCATGTTCATCCTTGGTGGTCCACCTTGAAGTCCATGGAGTGATACAGGAGGTGGAACATTTACTCTGGGTGGAGGAACTGGCCCGGGGGGAGGGTGGGATACAGGGGCATTGGGCATTCCAGACACCAAAGCAGACTGTCCTACAGTGGGGGAAGAGAAAGGGGATGGTCCTGCCTGGTTCACTTGAGGTGTAGTGTAAGAAACAGGAGGTGGACCTTGATGCATGGACGGAGCCATTGTTGATGACGCAAATTGAGGAGGTGGTAGTCCTGGAGGGGGAATTGTTGTTGAAAATGAAACAGCAGGGGGAATAACTCCAGTCTGAGGTCCCATGTAAGACTCGCGCCTCCTGAAGTCTGTATCATCCTGCAGTTGAACAGTTATCAAATTAGTCCGTCCACCAGACATAACAGGTATACTGGACATCTGATAGCCATCATGTGAAGACACCGGGTGTTGTTGAGGTGGCATTCCCATAGCCTGAAGCTGGGGAGGAGGCTGGCTATGTGGAATCATGGCTGGACTCACAGACATGACATTACTGTGCTGAGATGACAGGGGCTGTGTATGAGAGGGCATTTGTGTTATCACACGATTAACCCTGTCTTCACGGTACAATGAGTCTTCTCCACCAGACCTGGATGACATGGTGTGTGATCCCTCCACATGTCTCCCAGTGGAGGTGGAGTAATGTTCTAACTGTGACATATGCTTTGGTTTTGATGAGGATGAGGAGTATTGATCTAACGACTGACTACTTCGATGAGAAGACTCTGAACCTCCATGAGAATCTCTTGAAGACTCCCCACTCATCTTCGCACTCATTTCTGCTGGTCGGATATGTCTGTGGAGGACATGAGCCTGAAGGTCCCTTTGTGAGAGGTAGGTCCGACGACAACCTGCTCTACCATGCTTTGTACTCTCATACGTGCATATAAACACTGTTCCAAGTGCAGATTGTTCAATCCTTTGTACAGGGTCCTCACATCTGAAACAACATTAAAACATTCTAATCTTACACTTTTTAAAAATATTTTATGATTTAGAAATGTATATAACTTTGAGGTTGTTTAAACAAAACTGCACTGAAATACAACTCTGGTATTGTTGGCAAAATAAAAGAGTAGGTCTTTTGTGCAAAAAATGTTATATTTATTGAACATTTTTAAGATATCAGGCAGACAATCATGATGAAATGTAAAACATGTTTCAAATGTTATGATTAAAGGTTTCAACACTTGAAGTAATCTTGGCAAGTGTATTATTAAATGTATACAAGTATTTTACCTTGGACAGGTTTTCTCTGTCTGCTTAGCACAATCAAAACAGAACACATGCTTACATGGTATCTGAAAAAATTACACAGAAATATATAATAATTATACACTTCTATTCCATTTTGATAACACATTGAGTCACTAACTCATCTCACATATAATCAAACATACAATATTTACAACATAATTTAGTGCATGAAATACTGCTAAGAGTTGATAACATAATCAAGACATAATCACTAGAATAAATTGATCATATCACAGAATGAAACTGAGTATGTCACTTTGAGTATTCATTAAAATTATTAATACAAGTCATACGTACATAAGTTCTCATGTAGAATTTGAAATAAATAACAGTAAACACATATTAATGAATACATATGCCTAAAGGGTAAAATCTTACTAATTATGCATTAAAAGATGAAAACAAAAAATACTGAAGGATATCTGTAACATCTTTGTAATAGTGATTTACTTTCAGTGTCAACTATAAGAAGATTATTCAAATGTAAAGTGCCATTATATCTAAAGTATTTAAACTCTGCTCTTTTCTGTCTTGGTATGACAAATCTCCCAATTGTATTAATTTCATCATCCCCTTATATTTCAATTAATAAGAAACATTTCAACAAAGTTTACTTTATAAGCCTACATTAAAGTACAGTAATGTAAAGTTATAGGTTGTCATTAAAATTCTGATGTCCTAAAGATGATTTCTTTCATATGATTTTACTTCTGAGAATGCACAAAGTTGAACATCGTAACTAATTACTGTCTTACCATTCTGCCATATATCAGTATGGGCAGTAGACATTTTTCACAACAATGGACTAGAGGGTCCACTACTTTCTCTCCAATGAGGTTAACCTACAATGAAACACAAATGGATATTCCACTAAAAGCACAACTATGTCACTGAAAGAGTACCACAGTTTAAGACCAATAAATATTTTCTGCTTATTAATGTTCATCATACTTCCTAATTAGGTATATATTCATTCCAAAGTTATTATATAACTATATCATATTCTCACAACCTCTCTTTCTGAAACAGATTTCTCTGTGCCACTTAAAAAATGTTTACTTGAAATGAATAAATGGTAATCATGGAGATTCAATGAAAATTGTACACCAGAGCAGTCACTATATTCTTTGTGACGTGTCAGGCCATGATACCTTATGGTTCCATTGAAGAGGCTGGCTTTGATGGACAGGTTCACGTGCTGGCTGCTTAAATATTGGTGGCTCTATCACTGCATCATTTCCAGCTATAAAATAATATGTGTTCACACCTAACAAAACAGTTGAGCTGTAAGACAAGGTTTCAAGTAAAATCTACTATTAGAGATAATACATGAGTGAGCAAACATACATAGCTCAAGTGATTCTAACTTTAAAACTGCAATTTTGGTCTCGTTTAATGTATTTTAGATACATACATATATGTTAATTATCAATTCACAGATATTTTTTTTCTTTCTTTTTTTTTTCCATTTAGCCCCCCAAACATATATTTGATAAAAAAATATTCTGTACCATAAAGCAGACTTGAGATATTCATTCAAACTATTTATTAGATTTTTGTCTTACCTTGGTCACCTGTATCCTCTTTCTCTTGAACTTCTTCTTTTTTTGAAGTAGAGCGGGTCACTTTGGAACCTTTCCTAGGGCGGCCACGAGTGGCTTTAGCGGGTTGCTTCAACTTAATAGAAATGTTTTTCTTCACACTTCTAGTACCAATAGCACTTGTATTTGTATCACTTTCTGACTCCAACTCCAACTCTGAAAAATAAATTTTGTTCAAATATTGCTAATTATGGCTATTTATTAAAAGGAGGATTAATTTGTCATTTCTTAACAGTTTTGTCAAAGTATAGTTTTATTTTCTTTTCCTTTTAAAAAAAAAGATTCTTCAAATAAACATGACTGGACAATTTGAACATTTAAAAACAAGAGTACTGTGAACACAATATATGCCGCCACAAAATATAAAGATCAAGATTGGTCCCTTTAATTATCGCTTTTATCATGTCTGTATCATAAATCTTACAAAAACCAATGAACCGTAAAATCGTTCCTTCATGCACATCTACTCATTGTAGTAGTGACATTGAGAAAGTTTCATGAAAATCTGATGATTAGTTTAGGAGGAGTTGCCTTCACAAGAAATGGACGTACATACGGACAGACAGACGGAGAAGATGACGCCAATATATGACCGTCTCCTGCGGCGTATAAAAAACAAACTAATGTTACATCTGTTTCTATGGCTTACACAATATGATTTCACTGAAATGAGCTGTGTCAGATCCAAGAGCATTAGTAAATATTCCCATTTCATGTAAACATGAAGATTAACTTTAAAAGCTTCAGAGAACAAAGATTTCTAGGTCTCTCTGGCATGATAATTTTTTATCATAATGACTGGATACCATCAGTGCTGTGCCACCTGAGTAACAGAGATCAAATGTAACACTATATATATACCAGCTGACTCGTTTTACACTAATCCTCATGTTTTTCTCGAGATTTTTCAAATCCCAAACTAAGACTCTAAAACATCACAACCTATGGGATTTTGTGGGGCACCATTATGAAAGAGTAAAAAAGATAGACAAATCTTGCCAAGTGCTTGACCATGAACGACAAGGGTTTTGCCTAGTGAAAGCCAAAATGAAGTAGAACCAGCCTACCATCTCATACCTGTAGAAATCCAATCAAGAAAGGGATATAGGAGTTATAACAGACTCTGATCTATCATCAAGGAACACATATCAGAAAAAGTTAAAAGAGCAAACTCAATGTTCGCTCTTCTTTGGAGGGCTTTTCAATTCTTGGGTGATAAGTTGTTTATTCCGCTTTATAAATGCTTGGTCAGATCACAGCTGGACTACGACAGTCCAGTTTGGGCACCACACCTACATAAACATATTGACAAGACAGAGGGAATCCAGAGAAGAGCAACTAAGTGCCTCCCAGGAATGAAAGATTTTACCTACAGTGAAAAGTTAAAGAAACTTCAGCTACCAATGTTTGCTTTCAGGAGAATCAGGAGAGATAAGACAGAACTGTACAAAATAATCAATCAAATTTACGATAATGAATGTTTTAATGCTATCACATTATGGAAAGATGCCACAGATCCCCTCAGCCAGAGGTCATACAAAACAAATATTCTCAAAACGACCCATAAATATGCCCAGGAAAAACTATTTTTCAATCAGAAGTCTGTCAATTTGAAAAAGTCCGCCATAAAATGTTGTTTCAGCTGCAAATATCAATTCATTTAAAAATAGGCATGATAATGACTGGAAAAACCAAGAACTTTTCTTTAATTATAAATCAACTGTCTAATATTACATCAAAGTACAACACCGGATAGATGTATTGAAAAATTATTTATTATTTGTTGTGTATGAGTCTGATACTACAATAAACTTATCTATCTTATTTTATCTTAATGGCTCTAAAAATGAGATAAATGACCAGATTACATAAGATTACATACATAAATGATGTTTCATGTAATTTTTAATTTTATCTTTGGTCCCATCATGGTCGATATCGACCTTGACCAGAAGAAAAAAATATAATTTGCAGATAGATAGTTAGAACCCCTACGTTTAGATGGTCTCTACCTGGGTTTCCTTTTGTTTAAATCAACCTATACGTAATAGCTACCAGGGCGTCCATTCCCTACCAGAGTATAGCCCATGGGATCGGTAACAAGTAGTTGTATCGAGACCGAACTAACTAGACCGCGTATGACATGGCCAATTAAACACGAAAAGATAATATAAAATGTTACAACAATGTCAAGTCGTTGGGGCCGTTTACATTATCTATATAGTTATACGTAGGTCTGCATCCTCAGGAAATAAAACAGACAGATACTCCTCACAGAATTTACCGGCTTCAGATTCAGTAGAGCTAATTTTCATTTTCGTTTCGATGCTGCACTGAGGAAATGCATAATGGAATTAGCTTAGCTATTATTCTGGCGTATATTATTCTAATCATAACTGATGTCACCAATGCGTTATAGTAACATTCAGATGCACGTTGTAATTTGAACACAAATCTCTTCTAAAATGTAAGTTAACCCGAGTTACCTGCTTCTTCCGCCATCTTTGTAAATTTTCTGGAAATTCAATGTAACAGAGACGCTGATTGGTTGTTAATAAATTGAGTAACTGAAAGACGACACATGATTGGTTCATTTCCACCTACCATGCGGTCGACCTGACAGTTGTGAATGACTTGTAAAGAACCTAAAACTGATCAGTGAAACAGTGTAAGCGTTGTAGTTTATAATCGAAGGACAAACTGTCAAAAATAGATCAAAATCCCAGGAAAAGAAGGCACACGCCAGAGGTGTGCACCGAAACCGAATGCAAGAACAAGTGTGCAATGGCTTCAAGTACAGAGAACATCGACACTGACGTAGTACCACAGATCCAAGAAAACAAAGACACATTGAAGATTAGACAAGAAACGACTGCTTCCCTAAATCTGTCAAAACGCAAAAAAGAAATCGAAAATCAGCGAGAGGGACACACAGAACTGAAAGAAAGTGAGGGAAATAGGATGGTTTTCCTAATACATAACATCTATTTGGATTACTAAAAATGTTAATGAGCTGTCAAAATATCTGATGTAGCTCAGGTGGAACACTTCGAGCATTTTTCAAAGTGATTTTCTACCCAGAATCACCATTAAGCACCCAATCTGCATCATATCAAAGTGGTATATCAATAGCAACATGAGAATTATGTGAAATCCATATTATGATATGCATGCATGCTATGCACATCTTGTGCTTGTTGCTTGTATGGTTTTACAGATTTTGCAACTAGTTCAACTGTATCAGTGTATCCTTAACCTTGTTATAGATTCAGAGCTGTTGTTAGTTGAAAATCAGGTGAATACTAGTCACAATATACTGCTCGGCTGGAGAGATCTTCTCTTTAGCTTGAAAGATGAACAATATCTTAGTAAGCTAGAGGTCCCAGGTTCAGATTCTAGTGAGGTACAGGTAACGACAACCTTTGTTAATTTGATGCCATTTTAGAGACTTGGAAATCATACTTGACATTGCACAACATCGCTGTAACCCCAGGAAACTTGGGGACAAGTTGTTTCCAGGAAGTGGGAGTATGTAATCCTGATAGATACTACCGCAATTTACCATTCAGCGAGCTAGATCTCCTCAGCTTTGATTGCTTGCTTACACTAGTAAGCCAGAGATGCTGTGATGGAATCCTTTCAACATTGATATAAACAATGACCTCTGTTACACAGTTGTATGTTAAATTATGTTAAATTTCTGCTCCTAAAGTTAAGTTTACACAAGCTGATTAACGATAACAAATACATGTAGCTTCTGATAATTAGTCTCCAATATATACCAGAGTGCATTAATGTAGCTTGTTGTTAATAAAGATAGTCAGTCTCTTTATAGTGTATGACTTTGTTAAGGGTACTGAACACATTGCAGGATTATGTTTTCATATCAGGTGTAGTCTTGTTTTATTATCAATTTAATACAAGTACTAAGATTAATTCCATACTCAAATCAAGATTGTTGCTTCTCAATTTACAGAGTTATGGTTCATTTTTCATCTTGCACTAGGCTTGTATTTGGCATTTTATCTCAAATGTAAGATTTTGCAAGTACCTACATATCTATAGTTTAGTGTCCTGTAATGATGTCAGATATTATGCACCATTATCAAAAGGTACAGTGAGCCCTTAGTCCTATTAAGCTTTATTTAGTTGTGGTGTTTCATTGGCAGAGTAGAATTGCAGAATTTTCCGATGTACTGGTAGGCTGATGATTATTAGATGGCTCATTAGACTGTGGCCTTCTGTCCTTTTATAATTAAAAGTGTTAACCTTGTATCACCTTCTTTTAAGAATTATATCGCTAACATTATATCTAAAATTGACAAGTTAGTGAAAGTTCTTAAATGTATACAGTCACATTTGAATAATGATTTAACTGTCTTTTTCATTTTATTTGCAGTTGATATGGATGTTGAGTGGTTACAAACTGATGTTGACTTAAAAATCATTTTGAATATTGATCTCAAACCAGAACAGATAAATGGTGTGGACCCTACAATCACTGACAATGATGCCCTTCTCAAGTTCCCAGGTCCGTCACATCACAGAACCATATTCAATAGTTTAAGTATATGGATAGGATTACTAGGAATTTATCTTTACAGTTCTGTTTTATGTGATGGTTTGTTTCAATTTTCTTTGAATCACTCTGGATGAATCATTAGTGATGGAAAACTCTATGTTTGAGTCTTGAGAAGGATTGCAAGTTAGAAAGAGGGGGATGAGATTTTAAAATAATAGCATTAAGTTTATTCTTTCATTTTAGTTGGTAATGTGAAAATATGCATTGTTTTATGAATGATTTCAAATGTTACCAATGAGGGAGACCATCAACTGAACATGGGCTTTCCATATTTTTATGTTAAGTTTAAATTCAGAAGATAAGTCATGGAACATTGTCATATTTTGCTTATGGAAAAAATAGAATTGTTCTATTTACATCTTGTCAGATTATTTTTAGTTTATATCAAAATTGTGATATCAAATTTTTGTATTAAAAGTACTAAAGAATTGGGTTTGGGGGTGGGGGGGGGGGGAACCTTAAAATGTGACTAAGTAATGTATTATGGAGTGTAATAGTTAACTTGAAACATCATGTTACACTTTTGTGTTCTAGATGGACGAACATGGTCCTGTACCTTTTTCCGTCTTATACAAGGAGAATCTTGTAGGCTCCAATTTAAAAACAGACAACTTGTATTGTCTGCGAAAAAGAAAGAAAAGGGACATTGGATGTCTTACATGGTAAGTATTGACAAACACAATTTCTGTACCTCATTGTTGATTTAGTATTAAATTTTTAGTGAAATTATAGGCCATATGCATTAAGCAAACAGTGGTTAAAAGTGGAATTCATTTTAAGATTAAAACTTCTGTAGTTGAAGGTATACATAGATTGTATAATCAAGGTTCAATGCTAACACTATATAAGTAGACAGTCTACTCAAAAAAATATTTGCAGTGTCCAAATGAAACATCAAATTCAGAAAAAATTATTGCTATTTCTTAATTTTATATCATGAATCACATCCTGTACATTACAATACAAAAGATGTGTTAATTAAAATTGTGCAGAATTTAGAAAATTTTGATAATAGTGAAAAATACACAACATTACAATTAAACAGGGAAACTACAGATGTGTCCATCCCTACTAGAGAACACTATCACTTTATGATCCTCTGCAATATAAGTTATTTACTCTGTCTACCATCACCACACTAGTGATACTAATAGGGTATACCAAGGTACAATACATTTACATATAAATTTGTATCCTCTCCCATCGCTGTTGAGCCATGTGTCTCTTGTCTTGGACTTTTATCCCCTGTTTGTTAATGTAACAACTTGTGATGGGAGAGGTTAGGGGTGGGTGGATTAATTTTTCATTCCTGAAACGATATGATGTGCTTTATAGAAAGAAGGTAACTTTTGTTTCCTTGGCAAAAATCATTTACAGCAAGAGATTTATCTTCACAAAAACTTAAACCTACTGTTACTTATTGATTGTTTGAATTATTGTTGTATATTAATCTGTAATTTAATGCTGAACAAATTTTAGATTCCAAATGGCATACCCGATGAAGATTTAAGAGACAACAAAACAGCTGAGAAATTTGATTTGGAAATCCCAGACAAAAAATTTGATAATGCAGAATCACCACAGGAGGAGAAGGGCACCAGAGAAACCAAAGGCAAATCTTCACCATCGGAGGACACCACAAACATTAACAGTAAGATGTAGCCGCTGAGTATTTCAGTGAGGAAAATTTTACATAAATATGTTGAGAGGGTTTATTGGCAATATTTAACAGTGTTTGATGAAATAGAAAACCTCTATATTCTGACCAAAGATGGAAGATGATGAGGTTCTTGTTATTCTTTTACACATGCATATGTTTGTTATATTGTCTTTATGACCTAACCATTTGTAAAACAGGGTATTTCAACTTTGTAATTTTTCGTCTTGTTTCAGATTCAGTGTATCAGCTACAACACACGAAACATGACTGGATTGAAAAGGTAATTACAATGTGACAGAATTGAGAGAAAGCATAATGTATATACCGGTAGTATAATCTTATTGTATTGCCACCCACTAAATTGACAAACTTCCTCACCACTCTCAGTTTTATTAGAACAGATTTCCATTCTTTCAAATGCACTCGTAACTCCAAACCTATTTGCAATTTGCCATAGTGATGTTTGGGACTCCGATATTTGAGGACTCAAGCTTTTCCTGTGGGACTGGCTCAATTTTTGAGAACCATCTATACCTCTTTGTAACTTAAGTCATACAAATTTTCCAAATGGTGCTTTGGACTCGTCAGAAAAAAATTCCTTAAAAAATTACTGCACTTTATTTTGAGAACAAAAATAATCTGTGGTGTTCCCCAGTTACATTTCCACAATGACACATGATGACATGCAGCCATTATTGTATTATACCTTTTTAAGAAACTTGGATATGTAAAATTCACATCTTAAAAATGTTAAGATATGGCTGCTATGAAGGGACCATCCATTTTGTAAGTAAATGTTGAGTTGAATGAAGAGGAAAAATACTTGTATTTAAACTTGAAGTGTTTGTTTAAAGTGGATTATTTAGGGACAATATTAAAATATTTCAATATTCTTTTGCTTTATTATTTCTTTTCAGGATAATGTCATTGTGGTGCACATATATGTGAAGGAAGCTAAACAAGCAGGCGTTAAGGTCTTGTTTGATGTTCAGACTCTGTCAGTTTTCTTCCAGACTGCGTAAGTTATACAGTCAACACAAACTCTACAGTATAGATTATCTTTACCTTATAAATCAAAAGGAAATAATAAAAAAAAACACACATTTTTCTCAGTATTCAAAAACATAGCTCACCTGGCTACACTGGCATGTTGATCCTGGAATGTCAAAGAAATTTGACGAAATCTACTGTTCAGGGATCATAAGTGTGAGATCATAAGTATTCTCATGTATGCATAAACTAGTTATTAGACTGGAGACATGTATTGAGTAAAACACTTCTGTAACACTTAAGGCACATTTTTGTTTCAAAATTTAAATTCGGGTGTGCATCCTACAAAATTAAAATTCGGGTGGTGCATCCTACAAAATTAAAATTCAGGTGTGCATCCTACAAAATTAAAATTCGGGTGTGCATCCTACAAAATTAAATTCGGGTGTGCATCCTACAAAATTAAAATTCGGGTGTGCATCCTACAAAATCAAAATTCGGGTGTGCATCCTACAAAATTAAAATTCGGGTGTGCATCCTACAATATTAAAATTCGGTGTGCATCCTACAAAATTTAAATTCGGGTGTGCATCCTACAAAATTAAAATTCGGTGTGCATCCTACAAAATTAAAATTCGGGTGTGAATCCTACAAAATTAAAATTTGGGTGTGCATCCTACAAAATTAAAATTCGGGTGTGCATCCTACAAAATTTTAATTCATTCCTGCTTGTTTTCTCAAAATGAGACTTGATTTGTATGTTATTTATGACATTATCAAGTAGACATTTTAAGTAGTATTGTTCGTAATCAGTCTAGTACTACGTGATAATCATTTTATAATCAGCATACTACACGCTCCAACTTATTTCCCTTGAAAGTCTTACATGTTATATAAAATAAGATTGAAGTTGATGTGATAGAACAAATGGGAAAAAACAATAATAAGATAAAGAAGATGATTGACATTGTAAACATCTTTGTTAACATGTCACATCAAACATCAGTAAATTGCTGAAACTCGTGTAACTGATAGATGTGTTAGACTAATTGCTATGATAGACCAGAATTTTCGCACAAGGCACCTGCTTGGGTGAATTTGAATTTCGGCGTAAGTTCTGTTCTAGTGAATTTTCCCATGTCAAATGCAAAAGTAGTTGGTACTCTTGCATGTGATTTTTTGACTTTGCAGAAATTCCAAATATTTACAACTGCATGGGGGCACAGATGAAAATACCATTTTCAGTTGGAAGGTCCAGTTGAAGTAAGTAAGATTCTTCCTTGTTCTGGTAATACATTTGTACAATATAAGGATTTAGAGAAAAATGTTATGCATAAGTGAAAAACAAAATAAAAGAATAATTGAACCTTTTAACCATAATGACTATTACCGGGGTAGTTGTTCTAGCTTTAATTAACATTAATGTAAGGCTATGCTTTGGTTCGGCATCCCCCATCCATCTGTCTGGTGGCAACTTTTTATTTAAACAAATTTTGAGTTGTCTGACTGCTGTTTAGTATACTTGTCCACATGTTAAGAATGTATGATCAGCACATAAATTTGGTAACTAAGATGCGTATTGATGTCATTCATTGTTGATGGAAAAATAACTTGATAATGAAATTTTGATGAACCTTTCTTATCATTTATATGATGCAGAGGTTTTGTTCATATTTGATGTAAAATCTCCTGCAGTTAGACAAAATTTAGTAAAAGTTTAAATTCATTTAAAATGAATGTTATTGTCATTAAATGTGGATGATACACAGAATGTGTCAAGGATGTGTTCTTTTTTTCGTACATTGTCTCATTGATTGTTGTATGTTTGTAGAAATGAAATTGTTCCTTCAAAGTCAAAGTACCGTTTAACACCCACCATGATAGAAGTAACACTGGATAAAAAGGAATCTCAGCGATGGAATACTTTGGAAGCTCCTCAACGGAAAGGTATTTTAAGAGACATATTTCTGGATAATTTTAATCTGGGTATTGTTATATGCAGTGTAATTACTATTGTTGATCATTGTGACAAAACTAAGTTTCAGTGAATAAACTAATAGGAACATGCAAGCATAAATAATATTGAATCTTCATTTGAGATACTGACAAAGATTAATGAATGATTTGGAATTTACTCCAAAGAAACAAATTATCAATAATAAATTTTTTTTCCAGAAAATGCTTCTTCTTCCAAGTCAGACAGCTGGATTTCCACCGGAAAAATGTCTAATGTTAGAGAGACTAATAACACTGAAAGTCAGTCTAGTGTGGTGTTTGATGAACTTTCAAATGTGTCCACTGTTAAAAAAGGTGACTTTGCTGACAACAGGACCATAGAGTCTTGTAAAGGAGCCACAGGCATGTTACAACCTCTCAAAGACATCAACACACAGGTAAATATAGTCACACATGTTTGGTATGTTGTAATCTCCTTTCCTTACTATAATGATAGGGTAGATAGTGTTGGTAATTTAAAACAACTTCTCTTGTTCTTTATTATGATTAAAAATGATTTTTTTTTTGGAGGGGGGGTGAGGTGGGTGGGGGGAGTGGATTGGTTTGTACATATGTTTATTGCTTTGAATGAATCTGCCCATAGTAGACATAGTAGAAATCTTTTGTACAAGATATGCCGTGAACCTCCTATCACATGTTTAAACCTTAGCATGGTAACATCAAATTATGCATCTGATTAAGATTTGCAGACCTTTGGTCAAAGTTAACGAGTCAAAGATCACACTTTTTCAAATCTAATTAAGGAATTATTACAGGAATGATTTCAGGATTGGAGGACAGGGGTTGGGATGTATTCAGGATTGGAGGACAGGGGTTGGGATGTATTCAGGATTGGAGGACAGGGGTTGGGATGTATTCAGGATTGGAGGACAGGGGTTGGGATGTATTCAGGATTGGAGGACAGGGTTTGGGATGTATTCAGGATTGGAGGACAGGGGTTGGGATGTATTCAGGATTGGAGGACAGCTTGGGATGTATTCAGGATTGGAGGACAGGGGTTGGGATGTATTCAGGATTGGAGGACAGGGGTTGGGATGTATTCAGGATTGGAGGACAGGGGTTGGGATGTATTCAGGATTGGAGGACAGGGGTTGGGATGTATTCAGGATTGGAGGACAGGGGTTGGGATGTATTCAGGATTGGAGGACAGGGGTTGGGATGTATTCAGGATTGGAGGACAGGGGTTGGGGTGTATATTTACTTCGGCCTTGTTCACTTTGTTTCTTGTAGATTATGTTTCAGATGAAGGATGCTGTGGTATATTTCTGTTCTTGCTTCATTTTCAGAAACCTACATGTAAAGTTTCGCCTATGAACAAAACAAAAGAATTGGAACAAGTTGTGTCCCCTGGAAATACAGGTCTGGACAATCTAGGGAACACCTGCTTCATGAACAGTGTTTTACAGTCCTTGTCCAACACCAGGGAGTTTCGAGACTTCTTCTGTAGTAAGTGACTATTTCTACTCATTTACAGTTTGCATTGACACTGTCAATAACAAAAGGGAAAAAAAACAGGTATTTTTAGTGGACCCACTATATATATGCTGACAATTGCTTAAGACCCCACACCCCATATAGCATTGTATGCAAATGTCTGAATCCCCTACTTCAGTGTTCCAGAATTATTCAACAGGGTGGTCAGGTGTCACAGTGATAACACACTGTTCATCTGGGAATTTATTCACCAGGTGGATAATGAAAGGTACAGGGATCACCTGCCTGACCACATGGAATTTCCTGTGTTTTCTCCTACATTAATGTCCCTTTCACCCTTCTATCCATGCCAACAAGAGGGTTTAGTATAAGCTGATAGATAAAATGTTGTATCTTGAGAACCTCTCAAAACGTCTGGGTTTTATGCCTTACCATCTCAGATTCAAAGGTCATATTTGACAAAGTCTGTAAATTCTTCAAACAATACTTCTTTGCATGAGAGCAGCAGTATTCATGTCTTGATAATGATATTTTCTTGTTTTATTAGATAAAAAAAAAGACTGAAACTAACACCAATGCTATTGATTCTTGTTCTGTAGGTGGTAACTTCCAGAAGGACATCAACACTGATAATCCTCTCGGCAGTGGAGGGAAGCTGGCAGTACAATTTGCCCATCTTCTAAAAGTATTGTGGTCAGCAAAACACTACTCCTACGCTCCATCAAAACTCAAGGTAAGTCAATAAGTGATGTAAGGCTCTTAACTTTATATGGCAATAGCTGTCTGGAATGCTATTTACTGACCAGCTAATGTTTACCGAGTCTTTGTTAAACCTTTACATACAAAATAACATCTAAATACCATAGAGGTCTTGTCTGTATCTATAGCTACATAATGATGGGTGTATCACCTTGTCACTTTACAGAGTTCTTGGCTGTATCTATAGCTACATAATGATGGGTGTATCTCCTTGTCACTTTACAGAGTTCTTGTCTGTATCTATAGCTACATAATAATGGATGTATCACCTTGTCACTTTACAGAGGTCTTGTCTGTATCTATAGCTACATAATGATGGGTGTATCACCTTGTCACTTTACAGAGGTCTTGTCTGTATCTATAGCTACATAATAATGGGTGTATCTCCTTTTGACTTTACAGAGTTCTTGTCTGTATCTATAGCTACATAATAATGGGTGTATCACCTTGTCACTTTACAGAGGTCTTGTCTGTATCTATAGCTACATAATGATGGGCGTATCACCTTGTCACTTTACAGAGGTCTTGTCTGTATCTATAGCTACATAATAATGGGTGTATCTCCTTGTGACTTTACAGAGTTCTTGTCTGTATCTATAGCTACATGATAATGGGTGTTTCTCCTAGTCACTTTATATATGTTCTTGTCTGTATCTATAGCTACATGATAATGGGTGTATCTCCTTGTCACTTTACAGAGTTCTTGTCTGTATCTATAGCTACATAATGATGGGTGTATCACCTTGTCACTTTACAGAGGTCTTGTCTGTATCTATAGCTACATAATAATGGGTGTATCTCCTTGTGACTTTACATGGAATTTCTTGTTGTATCTATAGCTACATAATAATGGGAGTTCTATCACTTTACAGAGTTTTAGTGTATCTATAGCTAATAATGATGGGTGTATCTACCTTGTCACTTTACAGAGGTTTGTCTGTTATCTATAGCTATAATAATGGGTGTATCTCCTTGTGACTTACAATTCTTGTCTGTATCAATAGCCACATGATAATGGGTGTATCTCCTTGTCACTTTACATGATATTTTCTGTATCTATAGCTACATAATGATGGGTGTATCACCTTGTCACTTTACAGAGGTCTTGTCTGTATCTATAGCTACATAATAATGGGTGTATCTCCTTGTGACTTTACAGAGTTCTTGTCTGTATCTATAGCTACATAATAATGGGTGTATCTCCTTGTCACTTTACAAGTATTGTGGTCTATAGCTCCATAATAATGGGTGTATCAATAAGTGTCACTTTAAGGCTCTTGTCTGTATATAGCAATAATAATGGGTGTATCTCCTTGTCACTTTACAGAGGTCTTTCTTATCTTACTACATAATAATGGGTGTATCACCTTGTCACTTTACAGAGGTCTTGTCTGTATCTATAGCTACATAATAATGGGTGTATCTCCTTGTGACTTTACAGAGTTCTTGTCTGTATCTATAGCTACATAATAATGGGTGTATCTCCTTGTCACTTTACAGAGTTCTTGTCTGTATCTATAGCTACATAATAATGGGTGTATCTCCTTGTCACTTTACAGAGGTCTTGTCTGTATCTATAGCTACATAATAATGGGTGTATCACCTTGTCACTTTACAGAGGTCTTGTCTGTATCTATAGCTACATAATAATGGGTGTATCTCCTTGTCACTTTACAGAGTTCTTGTCTGTATCTATAGCTACATAATAATGGGTGTATCTCCTTGTCACTTTACAGAGTTCTTGTCTGTATCTATAGCTACATAATAATGGGTGTATCTCCTTGTCACTTTACAGAGTTCTTGTCTGTATCTATAGCTACATAATAATGGGTGTATCACCTTGTCACTTTACAGAGTTCTTGTCTGTATCTATAGCTACATAATAATGGGTGTATCTCCTTGTCACTTTACAGAGGTCTTGTCTGTATCTATAGCTACATAATAATGGGTGTATCACCTTGTCACTTTACAGAGTTCTTGTTTATTTCTATAGCTACATAATAATGGGTGTATCACCTTGTCACTTTACAGAGTTCTTGTTTATTTCTATAGCTACATAATGATGGGTGTATCTCCTTGTCACTTTACAGAGTCTCGTTGCTATGAAGGCCAGTCAGTTTACAGGATTTGCCCAACATGATGCTCAGGAATTTATGGCGTTTCTCCTTGATGGTCTTCATGAGGTAAAAGGACACTTCTATTGTTACACAATACCTCTCAGCATCGGTTTTAATTCATCTTTCCATAATCAATTTACTTTTCTTTCTGATGATAAAATTATAATCATTAAGGACTTGTATCTCCATAGTAATAAATAAAACTGAACTGATCAATAGGGTTAATTTTATTCAATAATACAATAACAGAAATGGCATTTTATAGTCTTGTGACATCATTGAGATGATTATCAATAGTCATATAATTTGTCATAAACATCATACAATATCAAAAAGATATCATTGTTGTTTGTGATAAAGTATGCAATGTGATAATGTGAAATTTTTTATGAAAATGTAGATTGAGAATTAGGATTAGCTTTCAGGAATATCAAAACACAAGGAACTCCAGCCATGTTTGTCTGCAGTGTCATTATGAAGATGACGATTCATGATTATTTCCAAGTCAGAAATAGAGATTGCATAGAATACTTTCCTGACATGTCATCGAGTATTACCAGTAAATTTCTTAATCATTCAGGACCTGAATCGTGTGAAGAAGAAACCGTACACAGAAACAGTCGACTCTGAAGGCAAATCAGATGAGGTCTGTACTATATGACTTTCGAAAATGCTTATCAAATGCCACTGCCTCGACAACAAAATTGTAACCATACATTTTGTTATGGGGGTAGTGATTGGAGTTGGGGAAGCAGAATTGCGGTTTTATGGATGTTGTGTGGTTCTGATGCGTGAGTTTAAATCAAAACTGAAATAATGTTTAATATGAATAAATATATTTTGGTTGATGGAAAAGCATTGTTGCCTCCCCAGTAGTAAAAGTTGAAATGATCATATGAGGTTATTTGTTACAGACTGTAGCCAGAGAGGCATGGGATGTCTATAAGAAGAGAAATGACTCATTCATTGTGGATCTGTTCCAAGGCCAATACAAATCAAAGCTTGTCTGCCCTGTATGTGGCAAGGTATGTATATTTTACTGCAGACTAAAACAGCCTTCGAGACAAGCTTACACTTATTGTTGTATGCAACACTCGTCCCCTGCCGTTAATTAAATTTTCTAAGCAACATAAACCTTGATAGCAATGAAAAGATGTCTTATTTTAACAATTGAAAGTCTTCCTTCCAAAAACCAGTGTCTTGACAGGAAAGACACAAAAACCAGAAAATGACAGGGAGAAAATACTTAATATGCATTCTGTTGTACTTAATACTGTCTGAAGTTTTAATCACATTTATCATCCCTAATTCAATTAAGTGATTACCTGGAAAACTAACTAAAACACTGACATGTCAGAAAGGACTTGGCTTTGTGTCTGACCTATGAGGGTAAATTTAACCACTCTAGGTACCTTGTCAGTATACACATGAAATTTGACCTTGACCTTTTGACAGATGCGGGGCCCTAATAATGGTGATAAATGTTTATTTTAGTAAGTCACCTTCACAGCCTTCACAGTTGACCTTTTGACCCCAACTCAATACCACCCGAATATATTTTCTAATAATATTAGATTGCATCAATTTTCAATAAAATCAGGTTACCCTATCACAAGTTATCATCGGAAAGCCACAATATGACAATATGACAAGTCTATTTTTTGTAACTGTGAGCTTCATAGTTGACCTATGTACCCAAAGCTCAATTTCGGTCTATATAACTTCATTATCTAACACTGCATGATTTTTCAACCAAATCCATCAATCCTCTCTGAATAAATCGTCTGGGAACCAAACTTTGATGATGTAAGTCTATTTTTAGCAACAGTGACCTTCATAGTTGACCTTTTGACCCCAGATTCAATACCACTCTGTATTATCCAAGGTGCCATCATTATATGAAGATTCTGACCAATTCCATCAATCCTTTCAGAAGTTACCATGTGGAAACCAAATTTTTGGTTTCTTAGGAAGTAGAAGGACAGACTGGTCTGTGCTATTGTGGTTATGTCCTTTGACAAGCATGAATATTAATGATAACAATATATGTACTTGGAAAGACCTGAAATATCTGGCTGATGTTGTTCCCATTTCCAAATCAACTGAAATTTATGTTACAATTTATGATATGGTAACTGTTTTGTTTCGTTACAGGTATCAATAACGTTTGATCCTTTCCTTTACCTGTCTGTGCCATTACCGAAGAAGAAAAGACAACTACCTGTGATATTTATGTGGAGGGACCCATACAAAAAACCTGTTCAGGTATACTAAACTGATGAAGAGTTCCGAAGTGTTAGAACTGTCAGAGTTGACTCATTTTTAATTACTAACTGTCTGTACATTGTTGTTGTATCTTACAACTATACAAACTAAAATGCTTTCAACAGAAATTGTTTTTGTGAGGATTGATAAACGTACTTATCAATCCTCACTTTTTAGAGGGAGACTCCATAAACTTTTATCCAAATTTGCGACAAATTATCATTTACTTTTTATGGTTTCAAAATTCCAATAAGTCTGCTAGACAATACTTTTTATGTTTCATATGTTTAAAAGCTGGTCTGTAGGTAGATTTTTTTACACTTAAACTTCCCCATATTGATATTGAAAATGTAGTTGACAAGTATAATTGGTAAAATTTTAATTGAAATTATTTAGAATGCAGTTGTAATGAAGATAAAAATCTTTGGCTTGGGTTTGAACTAGCAACCTCTCACTCCCAACACAGCCACTCTACCTCTTGACCAATAGGAAATTCCCACTAATAAAGGCTAGTAAGATGCCATGTACTTTCAACTTCTTCAACTGTTTACTTATTATTAGCATTCTGTTGGATAGCTGACTTTGATTTATTAAAAACATCTCCAGCTGTTTTGTTCTACAGTTAATACTTTGGTTAGCAAAGGAGTGTACAACAGACATGGTCAAGGAGGCAGCTTCAAAGAAAACAGGAGTAAAACCAAAAGATGTGAGTATTCTCATTAAATCACTTCAGCATTGGTTACTTGACCTTGTTGACTGTCACTGATCAGATATCTAAACTTTTAAAAATTGATAGGGATATATTAATCGTCACAAAATTTTGTCCTGCAGATTTATGAATGTCATTTGAGGTGAAATCAATCTCAGGAACTTTTTATGTCTGTGTGAATTAGCTAAGCTACATAACTTTCATGCATGCATGTGCATGCATTTTCTTCACATACTTTTGTCTTTTATCAGACAAAAACATAGCTTTAAATTATACACAGAGCAGAAAAGGAAAAATAATCCATTATTTCAGGACCCCAGGGTTTTCCATAAGAGCCGGTCGCCGGCCAATTTGACCGGCTACTTTGATCATTTGGCTGCCTATACTAATCCAGTTCCGTAATAATGTTCTGTACACGACTACACGTACACAGCAGGCCAGCCTCCTACTTACACTACACAGCCTACTACTAACAAATTATGGAAAACCCTGGGACCCCTAAATATAAAACTTGTTTTATTTTTCAGATGAGGATAATAGAAGCATACAAAGGCAAAATTTATAAGTATTATAACAGTGATTCTGATTGGTCCAACGTACAAGCCAGTGATACCATCATAATGTAAGTGTATCATAATTTTGTATGTGTGTGTGGTGGGGGGGTAGGGCATCTCTCTATCATATCATGATATATTGGATCAAACCATTATTACCACAATTGTAAGTCTAAAGGTCATTTCTGTGTCTTTACATTAAAATGTAATTGAAGGAGACAAATCTGTGTTACATGTATATAATGTTAGTGTGATGATCTTATTCTGTGTAGGTCATAGTATCTGAGTTAAAGGACAATTTTAGAATGTACAGGTCTGCTGTACCATGACTGTGTGTATTAGAGGGATGAAAAACAATTCACAGACCAGTAACCCTGTATAGAGTGTTATCATAATAATGTGTGACTTCTTTTATTACAGAGCGGAAGTATTATCAGAGGAAGTTGCTGGAGAACCAGTATATGAAGTATATGTTGTCCAGGTAAGTTTATGTTGTCCAGGTAACTTAGTGTTGTCCAGGTAAGTTTATGTTGTCCAGGTAACTTAGTGTTGTCCAGGTAACTTAGTGTTATCCAGGGAGGTTTATGTTGTCCAGGTAACTTAGTGTTGTCCAGGTAACTTAGTGTTGTCCAGGTAACTTAGTGTTATCCAGGGAGGTTTATGTTGTCCAGGTAACTTGGTGTTATCCAGGAAAGTTTATGTTGTCCAGGTAACTTAGTGTTGTCCAGGTAACTTAGTGTTATCCAGGGAGGTTTATGTTGTCCAGGTAACTTAGTGTTATCCAGGAAAGTTTATGTTGTCCAGGTAACTTAGTGTTATCCAGGTAACTTAGTGTTATCCAGGGAGGTTTATGTTGTCCAGTTAACTTGGTGTTATCCAGGAAAGTTTATGTTGTCCAGGTAACTTAGTGTTGTCCAGGTAACTTAGTGTTATCCAGGGAGGTTTATGTTGTCCAGGTAACTTAGTGTTATCCAGGAAAGTTTATGTTGTCCAGGTAACTTAGTGTTATCCAGGTAACTTAGTGTTATCCAGGGATGTTTATGTTGTCCAGGTAACTTGGTGTTATCCAGGAAAGTTTATGTTGTCCAGGTAACTTAGTGTTATCCAGGAAAGTTTATGTTGTCCAGGTAACTTAGTGTTGTCCAGGTAACTTAGTGTTATCCAGGTAACTTAGTGTTATCCAGGAAAGTTTATGTTGTCCAGGTAACTTAGTGTTATCCAGGGAGGTTTATGTTGTCCAGGTAAGTTTATGTTGTCCAGGTAACCTGTGATCCAGGGAAGTTTATATTGTCCAGGTAAGTTAGGTAAGTTTATGTTGTCCAGGTAAGTTTATGTCGTTCAGGTAACTTAGTGTTGCCAAGGTAACTTAGTATTGCCCTGTTAAGTTGGTGTTGTTCAGGTTAATTTGTTTGATCTAGGATATTTTATGTTGCCCTAGTACTACTTAATTCAATTTCAGAAAAAAATCTGAAACATTAATGATACTTAAGGTATATGTATTCATAACCCTGATAACTCACTCATCTTACTGATGTAGCCTGAATTTCTAAGATATTTCACATTATTTTTGGACTGAGACTTTCGTTTTGTATATGCTGTTTAGGCAATTGTTTTTCTCAATATACATATAAACATCATATTGATTTCTAACATTTCTCTTCAAGAACATCGCAAATTGGTGAACTGTAAATTGTGGGTGGGAGAATGTCATGACAGAAGATATTGTATGTGCTGGTAAACTTAGCATTTTAAAAAGAAAAAAAAAGATGAAAATAGAAATGGATTGTAAGAAAAAAAAAATTATTTTATCCTTATCTGAATCATATAGAGGACCATTCTACCAAAAAGAATATCAATTTTATCATCTTCTGAATCATATAGAGGACCATTCTACCAAAAAGAATATCAATTTTATCATCTTCTGAATCATACAGAGGACCATTCTACCGAACATTGCTCCTTCACGATGTGCATCATGTAAACGGCCATGCCCTGATGGAAGCAAGCTGAAGAGGTGTACAAAGTGTTATAAAGTGGGATACTGTGATAGGTATGTAGTCCTGAGATGGTCAGCACATTATGTACTGAGTATCTTAATGTCGAGAATTCCCATTTAATTTCCATGCTGGTATTTCCTACACATTGACTCAAACTTGATTCATTTGAAGTAATTGATTGCTTGTGATCAGTATATTTATTTTGTGAAAGCTGATGTTTTATTACCATTAGGCTGTAGGTGTGTCACTTCCACACTTGAATGATAGGATATTAGCCGGGATATCACACACTTTCTTCATTATGTCTTTAGGGTATGTTTCTCACTACTGAGTATGTTGAATCGTACCATTTTATTATACAGTCACCTCGGCTGTAAGTGATGGATTACTGTAAAATTATATATTTTTAGGGATTTATTTTCATGAATTTTGTTGATTTTGTTGGTACACCTGCTCCACGAATTCATATGCTAAAATTAGTACCCAGGTATAAGTAGATTTATTTGCTATATTATCTATGAAATCAAATCTCCATGATAAGGGCGTTTTCTTAAACACGAAAGTTGAGCCCCAGGAAAATACATAATTTTACAGTGTTAAGACTGGATGGTCCAGTTAAACTGCTAGCTGTGTACTACAGTAAGAATTTGTATGAACAGGAAGTGTCAGAAGGACCACTGGAACCTACACCGGACACACTGTAAACCCACCCCAGAGCCTGTAGGCTGTCCATACATCCTCAGTATCCCAGAGTCACGCACAACTTTCTCCAAGCTCTGTACCCTTATGGAAGCTTATGCCAGGTCAGTGGATCATAGTTAGGTTGAAGTGTCTCAATCATGTAACATTTATCTCCTGTAAGGCATTGTGCTTGTAATTATATCTACTACATGGATGTATTTTACTCCCTTTAAGCTCCGTATTTGAATCTATATAATGCTCTGTATTTGAATCTACAGGTACTTAGTGAATGTATTTCAACCTCCCTTCAAGCTCTGTATTTGTATCAACAGGTACTTAGTGAATGTATTTCAACCTCCCTTCAAGCTCTGTATTTGAATCTACAGGTACTTAGTGAATGTATTTCAACCTCCCTTCAAGCTCTGTATTTGTATCAACAGGTACTTAGTGAATGTATTTCAACCTCCCTTCAAGCTCTGTATTTGTATCAACAGGTACTTAGTGAATGTATTTCAACCTCCCTTCAAGTTCTGTATTTGAATCTACAGGTACTTAGTGAATGTATTTCAACCTCCCTTCAAGTTCTGTATTTGAATCTACAGGTACTTAGTGAATGTATTTCAACCTCCCTTCAAGCTCTGTATTTGTATCAACAGGTACTTAGTGAATGTATTTCAACCTCCCTTCTAGTTCTGTATTTGAATCTACAGGTACTTAGTGGATGTATTTCAACCTCCCTTCAAGTTCTGTATTTGTATCTACAGGAACTTAGTGGATGTATTTCAACCTCCCTTCAAGCTCTGTATTTGAATCTACAGGTACTTAGTGAATGTATTTCAACCTCCCTTCAAGCTCTGTATTTGTATCAACAGGTACTTAGTGAATGTATTTCAACCTACCTTCAAACATTGTATGTATTTCTACAGGTACTCAGTGGATGTGTTTCAGCCTCCCATTAAACCTGATGTATCCTGTAAACTGAGTAGCCAATCATCCACCTCCTCCAGTCTCAGTAGCAGTAGCAGCCAATCAAGTGGCAGTATGAACAGTTTGGACAGCCAATCATCTATCAGCAGTACATGTACAATCACAGCAGGTCAGGACCAATTAGATTGTGGGGAAATAGACTTGACAGCCTCATCATCCAGTGTGACCACAGATATTGGCAATGGTGAGGAAATTTCCAGCATCAGTTACAAAGCAAATGGGGAGGGGGACCAGATCAGCATTGAACCAATAGACACAGATTCACAGCTCCATCCAGGGACATCAGAGGATAGTGTTGATGAGAGGAATTTACCAGAGTACCCATCCTTTAAGTTGCCTCAATCAGATTATGCTGACATGACCCGTGAGGCAGAAATGGGAGGAGAAGATGAAGACATGGAAGATGGGCGGGGTCACAGACCGACCCCCACAAATCCTGTATTGGGCATTAAATCAGATGATATGGATAGGGTGCTGCCTCTCTTCTTCATTAAACCTGTCAACCAGGAAGGTCTAGGTTTGAAGGGACCTGATGGAGAAAGACTGGATGACAAAGGTATGTGTTGAAGTCTACAAGGTAAGGTGATAGATAGAAGATGATGCTGACTTTGACTGTTGGTATTGCATAGTAACTAAAAGTTCAATATATAAGATCTGAACATTAATATACAAATAGAAAGTGTTTCTGAAATCTATCAAAATTTTTAGAAGTTTGTGTAATACTGATAATACTTTGTAACTAAATGTACCACACCTGATAATTCTTTGTAACTAAATGTACCACACCTGATGATACTTTGTAACTAAATGTACCACTCCTGATAATACTTTGTAACTAAATGTACCATACCTGATAATACTTTGTAACTAAATGTACCACACCTGATAATACTTTGTAACTAAATGTACCACACCTGATGATACTTTGTAACTAAATGTACCACTCCTGATAATACTTTGTAACTAAATGTACCACACCTGATAATACTGATAGGGGAGATAGTATAATGTTTATTACAGTCAAGTATTTCAGTTAGCTTGTCAAAAATAGAAACACCAATTGAAATAATTTTGTTTAATTCTCAGGAGATGTACCCTTGGATTTGTCCTATCGCCAGTTTCTGTCGATTGATTGGAAAAATAATGACAAGTTCAGTCCATATGCACTTGTACAAACCAAAGAACTGGTATGTTTAAAATTTACCACTTAAAAAAACATTGATTAGGCAGTTTTACAAGTGACAAATTTGTTTCCTACTTCCTAATTCCGAATGACTTAAAGCCTTGTTTGACTGAACCCTCGTTGGCAAAAGTAGAAAAAAGTTTTTAATAAGACAAAAAGAAAAAAGTTCACCTCCATAAACAGCTATTAGATGTAATCTCAAAGTGTAATAGAAATAGTTTATTAGAAATAAAGGATCTGATGGTAGTAATATTAACTAGATCTCTGTATCATTATCTCCCATGTTAAGGATGTGAGTAAAGGTCTGATAACACTTTGTTTCTTCCCAATGTAGGACTGTGAGGAAGACCCCAGTATGCAAGCATCATTGGATGGTAAGGACGACATCATATTTCCAAACTGTTATTTATCATTCATTAGTGTTTATACCTATACTTCAAAACCTGACTCACTTGGTCACATGAACACATTTTGATGCAGAAATGGAGCTCATTGCATACTTTAATCAAATTTTAGTTAAATTGATCCTTGATATTTATATTGAGAGAAATTAATTTACTCATTAATTTGAACTTTGGAAAAGGCACAAGTCAATTATATATTATTGTTATCATTATGGAATATATAGAAGGTCATGGAAGGTCACACGTGTGACTTCCATTACAACTTTATATGTAAACTTGCCCAGATTTTATGTACTTCAGGGGAAAATTTTCTTAATTGCAATGTCCTGATGAAGACCACGTAGTTCTGGGCGAGGTCAACGATACAAATAAAATAAGAGCCAACTAACTGAACTTCTTGTGATTGATATTCTACTTAATAAAATTTGTAATGAACAAATAAAAAACTGTTCATATTTTAACTCGATGATCTTAATTTCATGCATTTGGCAGTTGAGGCAAAAACTGAAGACTTAAGTGAAAGATGAAATATTGTAATTTAGACACACTTCAACATTTACAGACTATAATTATTTGTAACTTTACAGAGAACAGTAACATCACCATCACACAGTGTCTGGACTTGTTCACAGAGCCTGAGGTCCTCAGTCCAGAGGAAGCCTGGTAAGTGTATTGCTTCATCCTGACACCCACATAGATGATGATAAGCTGTATAATTATCCCTCACAACTGAAAGTGATTGGCAGAGGGGATCGAGGAACATATCATATAACACCTAAATTTGTTAGCATCCTAGCAGCTTCATTCATTCAGTAATTTTGTTGAACTTCAAATACTTATGAATTATCTAAATTGATATTTAGTAAGTTCAAGTTTCAAGGTGGTAGGGTTAAGGCCGTCGTTACTACAGAATCATTGTCAGTGTTTGAGCTTCTCCACTCCTTTGAGAGATTTTGATCGAACGTAATACATGTTTAAAGGACAACTTTGATGTCTTGGACATTTCAAGTTTGTGAATTACGGGGCAAGATTATTGTTACCAGTCAAGTTTAACCATGAGGAGATATGAATTGCTTGGGATGCCATAATCATGTTGGCTGTTGTAACATTCCACAGAAATCTCTGTGACAGTATTAAGATTTTTGAGTCAAAATTTAAAGTTATCAGAATTGTTAATATTAAAATGAGGTACTTCTTTGCTTTAGGTACTGTCCACGGTGTAAGGAGCATCGAGAGGCCACAAAACAGATGTCCATCTGGAGGCTGCCACATACGCTCATCATACAACTTAAACGCTTCTCATTCCGTAACTTCATCTGGCGTGACAAAATCGACAAAATGGTGGAATTTCCTGTTAGGTATGGGAAGGGATTTATTTGATAATAACATGTTTGGAACATTGACTCTCTCTAGTTATCTCAAATCATAAATAAAAAGTTTGTGTCAGTAATGTCTTCATCAAAACTTTTAATTACACTCTTTCAATGATAATGAAGGCCCTATCATATGCTTGACTTTACCTTGGTTCACCATACAACATATTGGTCAGACTTACATTTAGTTTACAATCTTGAATGTGCATTAAACTCTCAATCTTGGGACATGATGTAACGCATTTATTGGGACATACATCTCAGCCATTTATAAAACTATCAATGTTGGGACATGAATGTAACACAATCATTGGGACATACATCTCAGCCATTTATAAAACTATCAATCTTGGACATGAATGTAACACATTTATTGAGACATACATCTCAGCCATTTATAAAACTATCAATGTTGGGACATGAATGTAACATATTTACTAGGACATACATCTCTGCCATTCATTTAACTATCAATCTTGGACATGAATGTAACACATTTATTGAGACATACATCTCAGCCATTTATAAAGCTATCAATGTTGGGACATGAATGTAACATATTTACTAGGACATACATCTCTGCCATTCATTTAACTATCAATCTTGGACATGCATTAAGTTATCAATTTCTTCTACCACACTCCCAGTCAGCAAGCTTCTTACATACATGCCTCATTCAGATGTTTCATCTTTATATAACCTCATTTGTTATTATGATGTACAATTTCTGTTTCACCAGCAATGAGTTACTTTCCACCTAACTTTCCTTGAACGTAGGAGTGTTATGTATGTGAAACAACTTTTTGCTATTTAGATCTTACGATAAGCCCATGGGAGGGAGGGGCAAAATTTATAAGGGTGAATGTATTACCTTGTTTTGGGACATGTTGCTAGTTTAATGTTATTTTTATCATTAAGAGCACTTCAAATATTACTATGCATTTGAGATTCATCACATAATTATGAATCGTTTAAGTCTAAGTTTCTGATATTCGTTACCACAGAGGACTTGACCTGTCTCAGTTTTATATTGGTGCTCGGCCGAAGAATGAGCCTCCACCTGTGTATGATCTGTACGCTGTAGTAAACCACTATGGAGGTATTCTGGGCGGGCATTACACAGCCTTTGTGAGGTGTGCAGGCCTTACTGACAACAGTAAAAATGATGTGGGTAAGTGAATTAGTGATTAATTTACCATCACAACCAAATCTGTGGTGTCACAATTTTCTTTATTGACATGTAATGCTTATCTTAGTCTTGTCAATATCTAAATATTTCATTTTTGTTTGATAGACTGGCGATTGTGTGATGACAGCAGAGTAACTTCAGTAAGCAATGAGAAAAACATCATGACAAGAGGAGCGTATCTTCTGTTCTACAGGAGACGGGACACGTTCTCAGTCCCAAAGGAGATATCTTCTGTACAAAGCACAGATGAACAAACAGAATCCTCCTCCTCTAGGGAGACAAACACAACCAGCAACGCTACAGGACAGGAGTCAACACTCAGTAGTAGGTCACACTCAGGGAATACCACACCAAGTCATAGTGGTGATGTCACAGAAGCCACGCCCCTTCAGGACAACCGGTACTGTCATCCAGATGGGGGTGATTCACACCCCGAGGACAGTGACGAGGAGAATGTAGACAGTGACAGGCCTGTTATAAGTGAAAATACATACCGAGGTTCTGTAGATCTTGGTTATATGGATATGGAGGCTGTTGACTAGCTGTGATGTCAAGGCGGCCTTGGTGATACCTGAAGGGCATTTGAATGATTTTGTGTGTTTCTAAGTTAAATTAAGTTATCTTTAGGACATTATAAAGTTGAGAGGTTGTGTACAGGTTATATGGTGTGTGAGTTCTATGTTTGTTTGGAGACAGATATGTTTAAAAATGTTGTGTATCTTTATAATGATATGTACATAATAAACCATAATTATAGAATGCAAATGTGATACGTACAATGCTGTTCTACTCTTTCAAGTCTTGTGTTATTGTGATACCTTTTATTATTTCTTAAAGTCATCAAGTTTGATATTTAAAAAATCTGCTTGATATTCTGATATAGATCAAAATCTTGTTATATTTTCAACAGAGAACAGTTTACATCCATTTTGCCACAGAAACCTCAGCAGCCCATGTGATAATTTACTTCCATTTTAAATAATTGCAATATGATCTCAAACCTCATTAAGGGAGAACTGTTTCTGAAGCAATTCTCATATGGCAACAAAATTTGATACATGAAATTGGAAGCAAAACACACATCATAATGCTTTATAAAGATTAATTGTTTTAGGTAACAAACCATATATTCTATACCTCAAATTCAGAACTGTCAATCTTGTCAAGCAGTATACAAGCTGATAGGTTCCATGGTAAAGTTGTATACAGACTGATTGGTCACTTGGTAAATCTGTATACAGGCTGATTGGTCCCATAGTAAAGCTGTATACAGACTGATTGGTCACATGGTAAAGCTGTATACAGACTGATTGGTCACATGGTAAAGCTGTATACAGACTGATTGGTCACATGGTAAAGCTGTATACAGGCTGATTGGTCCCATGGTAAAGCTGTATACAGACTGATTGGTCCCATGGTAAAGATGTATACAGACTGATTTGTCCCATGGTAAAGCTGTATACAGGCTGATTGGTCCCATGGTAAAGATGTATACAGGCTGATTGGTCCCATGGTAAAGCTGTATACAGGCTGATTGGTCCCATGGTAAAGCTGTAAACAGGCTGATTGGTCACATGGTAAAGCTGTATACAGACTGATTGGTCACATGGTAAAGATGTATACAGGCTGATTGGTCCCATGGTAAAGCTGTATACAGACTGATTGGTCCCATGGTAAAGATGTATACAGACTGATTTGTCCCATGGTAAAGCTGTATACAGGCTGATTGGTCCCATGGTAAAGCTGTATACAGACTGATTGGTCTCATGGTAAAGATGTATACAGACTGAGTGGTCACTTGGTAAATCTGTATACAGGCTGATTGGTCCCATAGTAAAGCTGTATACAGACTGATTGGTCACATGGTAAAGCTGTATGCAGACTGATAGGTCCTATGGTAAAGATGTATACAGGCTGATTGGTCCCATGGTAAAGCTGTATACAGGCTGATTGGTCCCATGGTAAAGCTGTATACAGGCTGATTGGTCCCATGGTAAAGATGTATACAGGCTGATTGGTCCCATGGTTAAGCTGTATACAGGCTGATTGGTCCCATGGTAAAGCTGTATACAGGCTGATTGGTCCCATGGTAAAGCTGTATACAGGCTGATTGGTCCCATGGTAAAGCTGTAAACAGGCTGATTGGTCCCATGGTAAAGCAGTATACAGGCTGATTGGTCCCATGGTAAAGATGTATACAGACTGATTGGTCCCATGGTAAAGCAACCTTATAATGAAAATGATGCTTCACTGTTAATCATAAATGATGCAGTTTACTTTTTAATTTGATGTTTATTGTACAATTCCACTGTCTCATTGCCACATCCCCAGTAGAAATCTAAAAAAGAAAGTCCTTTATCTGTATGTTTAAAATAAGCAAAAGAGTAGGTTTTTAATGCCAATTAGAGCTAGAATTTCAGTCTTAATATGTTAACTAGTTATCCTACAATGCAAGAAGACATCTTTAAGAACACTCTATAGAGCCCTGGACAAGAGAGGAAGTATTAGTTAGCACATTATATACCATTTAGATAGAAACTTGATTGTAAACTGTGATCTCAATACCTCTATTGTTATGTTATTGATGAGATGTAACATTATTTATTATATGATGTGATACTTCATGAGGAAAAAAAGTCTGTTCTTTGTCCTTTTACAAATGTTTTAACTGTACAAGACAACATGTTTATTTGATAAATCATTGGAATTCCACTATTCTTACAATACTTTCCTTAGTTTCTGAATTCAGGAAAAGGAGAATTTGTGTATATTTTGATTGTATCTGCATAAATCTCCAAAAAAGATCAATAAATGTTTGACTTGTATCTTATTTACACTAGATCATGAGGGACGACATATTATCTGAACATTAACTATTTGATCATTACCAAGTCCACACTAAACAAACCAGCAGTTTTCAACAAATCATTTTATAAATTATTTATGGAGAGTTTTTTTCTGGTTTGATAAGACAAACAGAAAGTTATCTCTGACTGGATAAGGCATACAGAAAGTTATCTCTGATTGGATAAGACATTCAGAAAGTTATCTCTGATTGGATAAGACATACAGAGGGGTATTGTTTCTGTTTGCGATGGATAAGACAAATGAAAAGTTGCCTTTGATTGGATAAGACATAGAGAATGTTGTCTCTGATTGGATAAGTCATACAGAATGTTGTCTCTGATTGGATAAGACATACAGAGAGAAATTGTTTCTGTTTGAATAAGACATACATGAAGTGGTCTCTAAATGGATATGACATGAAACTAGATTGTTAGGTTTGTATTTCCTAAGTGAAACAGAGTATAAAAATCAGTGCCACCAATCAGAATTGGTGCTTTAAGCAATGCAAAGGCAGTTTATTACAGCAGAGATCAAGCTGATGTCACCAGTGTTTTGAAGAAGAGACACATTTTGAAGGAAGAGTTGTGATTATTGTATTGGCCATCTGAGGCCAGCTTGTAAACAAACTAATTCGTCTATTTATACTTCGAATATTTCAGGGAATAAATGTGTTAATATTTCAAGTTTAAATCCTTTTGGACCACTTGGTGTTAAACATAGGCCTTGTAAGTGTGTCAAGGCTCAGGAGACAGCAAAATAAGATCACTTGGGTATTTCATCATTTTGACCACGATGAAAGAAAATGGACCAGAGTTACTTTACTAGAATTTCATTCAAGTAAAATGCTGGAGCATTTAAAAACCTCAGTTATGTTGTCACATTTTAAACCATTCAAACAGATGTGTTTGGGAAAAACCAGACCCAGCATTAAGTGTCCTGTGAATTGTCTCCCCTGCTTTGTGATTTGCCTGTTGATCTGTTGCCATTGGAGCTTAGATTTTCATTGTTATTTGGTTGGATAGGGATGATATACCAGTTGTTATTATTATCAAATGTAATTTTGTTACCAACTTCAATTCCTCTTTTACGTGTGATATGTGAATAAACGCTTTACATTGTCTGAAAAATCTTGTGCTTATTCTGTGTTTTTCCTGAAACTACATCACAATAAAGAAAATAAATGCTTTGCTTTTTCAGAGGCATGTTGTTGACATGTTTTTCAAAATCTAAAGGTTAAATTCTAGCAGGGTTCACCATTCACTTAATAATAGTATAAGGATTCTGATACTTTTCATTGAGGACCTCTTTAGATGAAGTCTCAAGTGAACTATTGCAATCATCTTTTGTACGGCGTTACCTGTCCCAAGAATGGTAATATTTGGCCTGTAGCATGCTTGGATGAGGATCTACCAAGTTTTTTAAAATGAATGACCTTGACCAACATTCAAGGTCACAGGGGTCAAATGTGTTGAAATCTTTAAATAACTTCTTCTCAATAACCAAATGGCCCAGATCTATATCATTCTTGGATGAAGGGCTACCAAGTTTGTTTAAAAGAATGACCTTGACCCACTTTCAAGGTCACGGGTAAAATGTGTTGAAATCTTTAAATAACTTCTCAAAGGCCAAGGGTGCTGATATTTGGCCTGTAGTAAGCTGACATGAAAGGCTACCAGGTTTGTTCATATTGTTGAACTTGATCCACTCTCAAGGTCACGAGTATCAAATATGTCAAAATCTTTAAACAACTTCTCAATAACCAAATTGCCCAGAGCAGTTTTATTGGGCCTGTAGTATGATGAGGTGATAGGCTTCTAAGTTTGTATATCTGAATGAACTTGACCCACTTTCAAGGTCACGTGTGTTAAATATATTTAAATGTTTAAATGACTTCTCTATAAACAAACAGCACAGGATGCTGATATTGAGCCTGTAGCATCCTGGGATGAAGTGCTACCAAGTTTGTCTACATTGATCTTGTCCCACTTTCAAGGACACAGGTGTCAAATGTGTTGAAGCCTTTGAATAACTTCTTTTCAATAACCAAAAGACCCAATGTGCTTATATTGGATCTGGGGCATGCTGGGATGAAGGGATGCAAATTTTGTTAATCTGATTGACATTTTTTCTCTTTAAATGTCAAAGAGGTCAAATGAGTTAAAACCTTCAAATGACTTCTCAATAACAAAATGGTTGAGACTGTTGAAATTGGTTATTTAACATAAGGTATTATTCTTATTGCATTCTTAATGGCCCGTCAACACATAAAAGGTCATTAGGGCCATCAACATTAGGGCCATCAAACGGTAAAACACACAGTGATCCTAAAAGGAAATAACATCAAACAAACTCATAAAAGACAAATGCTAAAAATCTTAAATGGTTATATAATCACCAAAGATTAAAACGGTAAGTCATAGACTATAATACAGACCCAACATCTTTCAGATAACCTAGAATTTTATCAACCTCAACAGTTTCAAAAAGGATCTTAAGACTTGTAATGTTACGATAAATAGATCTTGAGTAGACAGAACATCAATGCAGTCCAATAAAAAATGTTTAACGGAGAATGGCTCATTACATCCTATGCACCGAGGATTATCTTCGTCTTTCAACATGAATGTGTTAGGTATGTATGGCCATCCGGGGCAAGGACAATTTTGTCTCGGTGATTGTCTCTATGGCATGGACACTATTCGCCAACGATAGGTTTTACGAAGTAAAATTTATTATTATTGGTATATTGATCCCGTTTCTCCTGCTACTGTGCTGTTAAAAATTGTTTGATAAATGATTGAAAATCGGTAAAATGATGTTTAAAAACAACAGGAGGTAGCAATAAAGCTTCCTTTGAGGCATGATCTGCTTTTTCATTGCCTGGTATTCCCATGTGCCCAGGAACCCAGCAAAAAGCAATATGAAAGTTAAAGTTCATTAGATATAGTATTAATGTATTACAAATGAAAACAGTTTTGATATTTCTATTGCTAAGACTCTGTAGTACAGAAAGAGAGTCTGAATGGATAACAGCTCCCATTACTTTGTTTGTTTGAATATATTCAAGAGCAAGGTAGAAAGCTCGAGCTTCCGCCGAGAATATTGAGGCGTTGTTCGGTAGCCGGCATCCATAGGCTCCATCTTGTGAAACCATGGTGGTGGCAATCTATCATTATCTTTTGAACTATCAGTATATAAATGTAGAACTGCTTAATATCTTAAGTGCAACTTTGAGAAGGATGAAAGAAAGGTGCAATGTCAGTTTCAGATTTAACCACTTCGTGAAGTGACAAATCAACTTCAGGTGAATTCAAGAGCCAGGGTGGAATTTCTATCGTTCCTTATGACTGAATTTGGTCAATATCAACATTTGTGTTTTGTAAAAGAGCAGAAATCCGAATACCAAATGGTGGAATGGTCTTTGGTTTGTTTTGAAACAAGGTTTTATATTTTGGATCATATATATATAGGTCTTTATAGTTTGACGACTGTTGAGGCACTTCAGCCTCTTTGATTAGCATAATTTGTTTTTTTTCTCTTTTTTTTGTATGAGAAATATCTCAGACTTGGTTAGAATTATTAGTACAAGATGATAGTTTGATGAGATGCACAAATTGACCTCAGCTGACCCCCAAGGGTTGGGCCAGAAATGTGTCCAAATAACTGATATTTCAAAAATGTTCTGCTGTTCTTGGATAGAAGATTTTATTTAAGAAAATTCATTTTTTGAGTTTAATTTCTTTAAACCTGGTTAGAAGCCTTGGCTTTGGACAGCAGTTAATGTTTTGCACAGTTTACATTTGCATTATGTGTATAACGTAGTTGAAGTTATCTGACTTTTTTAAGTGATTTTCTATGACATGTTACAAGAAGCAATGTGACTCAGGTGACCATTAAGGCCCTTGGACTTCTTGTTCAAAAAGTGATTGTTAAATTTCCTGCAGTGTCCCTTGTCCACTTAATGTGCATGTTCAATTTTGAGACTGACTGCAGGTGAAATACTGTGAACAGGTGACCAGTCTGAATTTTCATCATTATCACTCTGTGTCCAAAATTAACGACAGGAGAGATCTAGAATTTAATCGTCGGAAAGCTCAATCTTTAGTCAGTATGGCTCATGTGAACCATATGGGTGGAAATAAGAAGTCATATAATTGCCTGAACAAGCTCATATTAAGTTGGAATGTAAAAGACACTGTCGCCTTAACTCCAGTAAACAATGTAATATTACCGTTTCCTGAATTACGATTTTCTATAACAAAACACATTGGATTAGAAATGATATGTTTATTTTGATTCTATCAGTAAAAAGACTGCTACAATATATAACAACATTATTTATGTGACACTTCCCAAACACTCTCATTTTCAGAACCTACAATGTGTATAAATACAAACCTTTCAGATATAATAATATAAAAATACATCACCAGGTATGTGGGGTTTTATTATGTTTATCAATTTGTGTAAAAGTGATGAAATAACTAACATTCATGCATTCTTTCATGTAAAAAGTATTGCAGTGGTAATTAGAGAAAATAATTACTGAGTTTTACTCGAGCAATGAATGCATTACTGAACAATTAACATCGAATTAATAGTTTATGATGAGCCCCACAAATATAAGAAAGTAATAAAGCATATGGACGTAAAATATCTACAGCTTTGGAATCAGTTGGAATTAAAAGATGTAACAACTTGTGATACTTTCAACTCCCATGAAAATTATCAGAACTTTAAAAATTCTACTGAATATAAAAAATTGGTTTATCCCTATTTGATCATTACTTCTAGTTTAAGACAGAGGTGTTAATTGATGGCACATGGCACTGCACAAAACTTGAAGATGAAATAAACTTGACAGCTATATACAGCTAAAATTGATACTAAATTAATCATTTAAAAGGTTAAAAAGTTAAGTGTAGACTTAAAGTTTTGAGCTAGAGGAATTTTCTACATCTGAGAGACAGATTTGATATACTCCAATGGGAATAGGTGATAAAATGAATGTAAATTAAAATTCTTGACTAGTAATTTGCAAAACGTAAAAGTACATTTGCATAAACTAGGAATGGTTCAAGTATGAATTTGAATCAATTTGACCACTAACTAGCATTTCCAGTTCAAATTGTAAATTGTTTTAGTTTCAGTTCACAATGTCTAACTAGTATGTCTATGTAGAGTAGATCACAAGAAATAGCAGGATTTACAGAAGAAAATGATTTTCGAAGAGAAAGCACTTATACAATGGCTGTACGTATTTATCTAGCATGCCTTTAGCCCTTTTACAAGATTTATCTTTGGTGATACAGAGTGAAAACAAACCTTCCACGATCATCAAAATCATCATGTGTATCTTTTTTACAAAAAGAAACTCTCTAAAACTGTCATGGAAAATATTTTCCAGTAACATTCTAATACGTACATAGAATTGGGAACTTTTTATTTCATTTTCTTTCACAGTTCAAAGGAACAGATAATTCAGTGTATGGTAGTGCATACCAGCTTCTGCCAAATAGTTTTGGGAATGTACAAAAAAAGTTAAGGAAAATTGGATGTGCATTTTTTCCACTTAATGTTACACAGGGGCCTGGCATGAATTTCTAATCCCACAGTTTTTATACATGTACATCTGTAATAACATAGGAACTAGGTAATGGAAATGTTTGCCAAGCCCCTGTGGTATGAGTGATCATATGCCCTAAGCTATACCAAGGTTATATTAATTATTTTTGTATCTGTCAGCCACATACATACACATGATGTACCCTGAGGTTGTGTATGATCTCCCAATGTCACATATTATCTAGAGTTACCTTTTCCAATCCATTACTGTACAATTCTAGTGCTATACGGCTGTCTGCAAGAAATTTTTAGTACAATATACATTATTCAGTCTGCATTACCAAGCCAAACTCCTGTAATTAAATCATACCTCAGTCATTCATAAATATTTTCATGAAGGTTAAATATTTGTGAAAAAAATTTTCTCACAAATTATTAAAAAATAAAAATTGTTCATGTATTGCTGGAGAAATCAGGGCCATGTTATCAATGAAAAACAATTTACCTAAACTATATCTGTGTGCAGGAATTGTACACAGAACTGGTACACACTAAATGTGTAAAGGACAAAAAATACATCACAGTTCATATAAGATAAACCCTCTTTTCTACATTTTACTTTGAGATTGATGAACAGTTAATGGTGTCAGCACAGTTTGTGTATATAATATTTCAGAGAATTATGAGATGAATTGTGGTCTTGTTGATATGTTTCAGATAAACTCTAGTCTCTAGTGCTGTACAAGTGCTATGATGTCATGTCTCAGATGAAATATTAACACTAATATTTGACCCTGAGTATCCTCAGATTGTGGACTCGTCCTCCATGGATAGTGTGATCTTGTTCCTGAAAGCATTGTTGGCACGGGGAGCATTATGTACCCGCGGGCCTCCAGGTCCTGAGGGAGGCACTTGAGGAGTGTCCTGGATTCCAGGCTTTGCACCAGTGTAAAAGCCTGTATTTTCTCGCTCAGGGGTCTGTGAAGCAAATATTGGAGCTGGAGTCATGTAAGGCAAGGCTCCTCCCTGGACTTGGCTCTTTGAGGGGGACATGAAGGCTGGCTCGGCACCACTCTTGAGCTGCTGAGCTGCGTTGAATGACATTTGCTGCAATGCTGGAGATAAACAGTATGATATCAGTATCTACAGTTACAATAATAAAGGTGCCATAACAACACTAACCAAACATAGAAGTGTAATAATCTAATTAATGCTTGTGTATAATGATGCTGAACATAGTGGAGTAGTAATGAAACTGATGCTTGTTATCACCATTTTCTGGTTATCTAATTTCAACTTTATTAGTAATGAAACATTGTAAGAATCTAAATATCACTCACTCATGTGTAATACATTAAAGAAGCAAGATTCTTTTGACTCTGGTGAGAATATTTATATTTTTTGTTAAAATTGATGATTCTGAATTCTCTAATTAAAGATTTAGACACACTGTTAAAGCTTTTCAGAAGCTTTCTCTTAACAGAATAATTTCCTACCTGGGCTAGGAGCATCTGGTACATCTCCACCTTCGTTAGCCTTTGTGGTGACCCTCACCATGGTTTTCCTTGTGATCTGGGGATTGTCCACACCAACAGGATCAGTTGGGTCACGATTGACATCACTCCAGACTACCTGGTTGACCTGTGCTCCACTTTCAGGGTCAACACCTGATCTCATCATGGTAGTCCCTGGGGGAGGAAGGTTGGGATCATCTAGAACTGTCCCTGTTGGACCCCCAGGTACTGTTGCCATAGTACCCGTAGGTTTAGACTTGCGTCCGTGTTTGGGACTGCGGTGACGGGAATTCGGATCATAGATCGATGGCGTAGATGTGTATCCAGGTGCTCCTGGGGACCCCAAGTCTGTTATCTGTAGACCTTGGTTGTAGGGCTGATTTTCCATACCAGGTGGTGGAATCATTACCACCTGACCATCAGGCTGCATGTAGTATGTAGGCTGGGCAGTCTGTCCAAACGGATTCCCACCCATACTCCCAGGGGCCTGGTTATTGTAGCCATACACTGCATTCCCATAGCCATCATAGCCTATGATCTGTGGCTGTCCATACTGGTCTGCTACTTGAGGCTGGTAGCCGTACTGGTCTGGTTGAGAGTAAAAATGAGGTTGTGTGGATGTATCTGTTGCAAATACTGGTGCTAGTGCCTCTGGAGGCAAAGGTAAAGACGACAATGGAACGTTGGAGAGTGGCTCCATGGGTTCTTCTGTGGTATATCCAGTCTGGGGCTCTGGTTCATATTCATCACCTGTGTCGGGAGCATTCCTGTGCCTCCGAGGACCTGAGTCATTGATAGACTTCTTTCTCCTCTTCTTCTTTTTCTTTGTTCTTGGAGATTCCTCTGTCTTTGGACGCAGTTCACTGACAGAAGCACGAATGGCAGGATTAGAACTATTTAACATTGGGTTAGACATCTTCTCTGACTTCAGAGGCTCGCTCTGCTGATCTAAAGACATTAATTTTGTATCATTTAAAGAGTCCATCTCCTCTGGGAGAAGAGCCTTGGCTGATGGTCCACCTGGGGCTGTGTCTTTTATCTCAGTCTGCTTGCCTTCTCTCATGCTCTTCCTCTTACTGAGCTCCCTCTGTAGCTCAGCTAGCATGCCAGTTGGCTTCTCTTCTGCTTCTCTCTTCTCATCATCATGTTCCAACACACCTGACTTTTGACCATTTGTCTCTATTTCATTGTGTTCCTGTGGTTTCCTTTGTCGACTAGGCCTGTTCACTGTACTACTAGCTGCTGGTGCAGAATAGTTTTCATACATCTGATCTATGTCTGTGTCCTGACTGCTTGCTATAGCTCCATTATTGGCACTCTTTGCTAAGTTCCCTGCCAATACAGCAGAATCATTAGTTACACTATATTGTCCCCGTTTAGCCCTTCCCGCGGCATTGGTTCCATCCCTTGAAAAGCTATTCTTATCATAGTGTTTACCAGTAGGCTGGCCAGTGGTAAGGGACGCCATTGAACTCTGGGATGCATTTGTCATGGTGTCCCACAAGTCCTGGTTGTTCAGATTAAACTTATTATTATGAGACGGATCCATTGACACCTTTTTCTCACTAAATCCCGAGTTGACTGTCCCCGACTCGGACCGTTCCTTCGGCCTAGCCTTGGGACGAGGTTTGTATGGCCTACCATCCATTCCAGGCAGTTTACCTTTCTTAAAACACCAACAAAGTAGAATGATGAAGGCGATCAGTAATACTAGTGCTAGAACAATACCAACAATGGCTCCTACTGGCAGATGGGATATTCCCTCAACAACTTCTGGGGCATTCGGATCTCCTGTACAAAAGAAAGCACATGAGTCAATGTTGCCAGTTAGTTGGCAGCAATAATTCACAATGCAATGGCCAATAATTGGTTTCAGTTTCCACTAAAAAATTGCTTTCATCTTTGTAATCATATTATTAAATATTAATGTAGATAGATGGAAGTGGCCACTACATATATCTCCATTTTTACCTGTTTACACTCTAAACAGTCATTTACCAGGTAACGTTTCAAAAGGACAAGTTTAATACAAAGTATAATGCAGGCAGATAATAAACCATAACTACAGAAATGTACTAACAAGAGACAGCATCGGTGATCCAATGAAACAGGGGTCAACAGAATGATACAGTAAAAACTGTCTTAGTAACAAACACAGTATGGTTATTGTTTGCAGATCAGAGGTTACAACATTTTTCATCAAACAGAAAAGGTGCACCATGGTTTAGAAGCTGAGACAATGTTAAAAGATAGCAATCTTTATAAGAATTGCAGTTGTGATATTCGTTAACGGAACTCGAGTACTTACGAAAGGCCTTGATTCTGAGACTGAAGTCATTAGTTGGTTGGAAGACATCCCTGGGCTGGCGAAGGTAAAACGTAGCTATTCTACCTTTTGTATACAAAACACCTGTACTCTTTGACCCACATGACAAACTTTTCTGTCAACACAAAATCACATATGAAAGATCTCTTTGCATTGAAGTTAGGTAATGATAAACATAAAGTTATTGTACAGGTATCAGTGAAGTAAGGCAGAACTTTGATACTAGATGTCCACTCATCAGCGTATCATATATTTACCCAATACTTCAAATTTGTGGTTATAACTTTTTTTCATTTTAAAAAATCAGTTATTTACAAAAGGGAATGTATTTACTTTGGCATTGAACTGTTATTTGTTCTTCTTTATGGTCCAAGAAGCTGGTACAAGATTGCAGACAAATCAAGTAACATTCTACACATCTGAGTGCATTAGGATAATTTTGTCAGCAATATAATCCTGTACCGACTCCCAGACACATAAATCTGAACAAATACTCAAAAGTTTTAAGGCCAATCTAAAACAAAATTTTATCATCTGCATTGAAGGTTCTTTGAAGGGTCTTATTCATTATGAAATCTAGCAGCGGTTCACCATCAATCTCACGTAACTTAGCAGCGGTTCACCATCAATCTCACGTAACTTAGCAGCGGTTCACCATCAATCTCACGTAACTTAGCAGCGGTTCACCATCAATCTCACGTAACTTAGCAGCGGTTCACCATCAATCTCACGTAACTTAGCAGCGGTTCACCATCAATCTCACGTAACTTAGCAGCGGTTCACCATCAATCTCACGTAACTTAGCAGCGGTTCACCATCAATCTCACGTAACTTAGCAGCGGTTCACCATAAATCTCACGTAACTTAGCATTTGTTTACCATAAATCTCACGTAACTTAGCATTTGTTTACCATAAATCTCACGTAACTTAGCATTTGTTTACCAGAAATCTTAAGTAACCTAACAATGGTTCACCATAACTCTCTGAACACTGACAATGTTACAAAAAATCAGAGATAACCTATCAAAGGTTCACATTTCTTTAATCACAAATAACTTACCAATGGAACACCACTTGTACCCTCTCCATTATAGATGTTGAGTACAAATCCACAGTCAGCTATAGAGATGGATTCTTGTATGATCTCCAGCATAAAATATGTATCAGTATATCCTGCCTCTATGATCACCTGACAGGAAGTTGGAGGGTTGGATGACGAAACAGACTGGTGGGCCCCAACCACGATATCAAAGTCATATATGGTGTGTTTTGAATTACATGTTGATATGGAATCCATGTAAACTGTAACAAAGGTGAAGGTCAAATGGTGACATGCTACCTATATAATATAGTTATTGTGTAAGAGTTATATATGACTATATATTACATTAAGACACGTTGGTATTATGGTAAGATCATATTACTAATCATGAGATACATTATTGGAAATAAAACAGACTGCAGTCACCATGACATTGCAGTTTCGTATTAATTATAAAAAATCAGTGTTGATCATATACTGTACATATACTTAATATGCAGTAATCACGTCTGAATCAACTTTTAGGCATCCACAAAAATCACCTAATAATCAGCATTTGGAAATCTCAATTAGTGCAATCATACTTCAGTTAGACACTCTAAGCGTGAAAAGTGCTAAAATAAGATTACCACAAAAAATATGTACTTTTGCAGTAATTAAAAATTCTCCTTGTATTTCTCTAGTAAAATATTTAAAACTTTGTCAGTTTTCATCAGCAACAGAAGTTTGACAGCAGCAGAATTAAAAAAGATAAAGAAAAAAATAGTTGTAATCATCTTTAGATAAATTCCACTGGTAGTCTTTTAACAGCAACATTGTGTCTGGACATGAACTCTAGGACTTACCCTCTTTTGTGTTAAAGGAGGTCACAGATGAAATGAGGCTGACAGCTATCATTAGCTGTACATCCCAACGAATTCGTGGCATGTTTGGAAATTTGGACTGGTTTACTGTGGCTACATAGTTCTAGTGCTGAAAAGAAAATGATTAAGATGTCAATTTTATGAGTCTTGTTTTAATTTCGTTAGAACTCACAACAGCAACATGCAGAGCAGGAGGGCTACACATAGACACAATGGGACATTTTCAGGTAAAATTGTCCCCGAATCATTAAAGCGTACCTGTACTTATACTTACCTGAACTGATTCATTCTTGACAATTGATATATATTTAATGAGGTAACAGGACGATGTTTAGAAAATACACAAAATGGGGCAGTTTGTTTAATGACTAGGGAGGACAGTCAATTCCAGTCACATCATGAATTCATCCTGTCTATTGTATCAGAACTGATCACTTTACCAGTGTGTAGTATAGAACATCAAATGAGGGTGAAGTCCCACATCCCACCGACTAGGTACAGCAATACAGAGATACTTGAAACACTTGGGTATATATTCAGCATGCTGACATTCCTATCCAGTTGTGGTGGATATGTATATGCATAATACAAGTAAAAAGCCTTGTTTAGATAAATAAAATTTGTATTTGTTTTCCACATACTGTATACATTTTCAAAAATATCTTTCGTGACTTGTTTTGTATACACACCACAGTTGGGAAGGGCCTTCAATACGTATATATAATATATGTCCCTTTAGTCTAGAGGGGGTCCATGGAACCTGTAGGTCTTTCGTTGGCAGTGTTATTACGCACACGAAAGTTCCACTTGAAAAGGAGATATATGACCTGAATAGGTGTTAATTGGTAGCTGTTGAGTGATGATAATTACCGGTCACTGTCGTGATCACAATCGACATCAATGTATATCGATGATCACCAGGTATTTTAAGAGTGAGTCCATAAAAAATGTTTTGTAGAAAGTACAGTATGAACAGTTCAGCGACCGAGCCAGTCAAAGCCCTGTATTTTGAATCATTTCCTATTTAATAACAAATCACTGTTAATACCGTTGTTTATTATTCAACAGACGGTAATCAGTTTGGTGGAACTTAATATCGTTTTCTATAAAGTTTCAAACCCCTAAACTCACCTACATTGAAGTGATCTATGATTTCGTAGACTTTCCCACGGTATTGTCACGGAGATCCCAGACTCTTCGCCATATTTACAATTCACTGATATATATCACCTGTGATGACCCACTTACTATACCTTTGTGGACGCCGCCAGCTGAAGTCTGAATTAGTCGATAAATTTTCAACGCCTTCACAGGTAAGTTGTGGAATATCCACTAACACTAAAAATACCTGACATTCGTATGACGTGTGTCAACATGCAGTGAACGGATGGTTTAGCTACCAAACATTTCAGATAAAAAAAAATAATAAGCGTAGGTTTCATCAAATTTGTTTTCGTTAGGTTAACTAGACACACAGATATTGGTAAATATCTATTTTTACCACGGATCAGGATATAGTTAACTAACATATATATTTATCCGTATAGTTTATGATAAATCATCGTGAGCTGAAAATAATTTGTTGCAGAGAATAACCTTGAACAGCTTTCAAAGGGAACCTACAGATTTTTTTCTCAAATGTCAAGGACACGTTGAGGGATCAACGTCAGTTTGTATCCGAGTTTCAGATCTTCCAAGCGAATAAGTAAACTCCACATTTTTTCTTTTCTCCTATCCTTCTTTATTTCAATGAATTCATAATATTCTGTGGTTTCTATAAGATGATATATAGCAAGCCTTGACACTTATCCCGTGACTGGCCAATATCGGTCCATGAAATCAGAGACGTATATATGTATGTGATATATACGTCGCTGATGAAATGGACCTACATATCTCGTGTACATATCGAGTAACTCGTGTTATATCTGATCAGAGTGATATATACGTCTCTGATCTGATTAACTAAATTCAGCGATTTAAAACTCAAATCTTGAATCTTTGATTGAGTGAAACATCCCATCATTTGACGAGGATGATAAATCTAACAGGACATGGAAATGGCAAATGTAAGATTCTATTTATCACGCAATATGTATTCATTCATGATGGAACTTAAGAAATACTACCCACACAAGTGCCAAAACAGAACAAGAAGAGTATAGCAAAATGTTCACATAATTTTAATTTCAAACTCTAAACCTACGAAACGAGAGCAAAATATACACAGTTAAACAGAATTTACACGGCAACCAATGAAAAAATGCACAGAGAAAAAAAACGGAGGTGTTGTGGTAAGGTGAGCGTCTGCATCAGTAAACTTCTCATTGATATGTTAAATCTTTCTCTCTTTCCCCGTCCATTATCACTGACGAGTCGTAGAAGTGTGCGAAATTCTAAGTGTAAAGTTTGTATTTAAGGTGCTGTTCACATGTATGTATTTTGTACTATTCAACAATTCACGAGAGCCCATACGGATCTTGGCGCTCACCATTGTTTGCTCTTTACATGCTGTTTGAAAGTTCGTTCTCTCTCTCTCTCTCTCTCTCTCTCTCTCTCTCTCTCTCTCTCTCTCTCTCTCTCTCTCTCTCTCTCTCTCTCTCTCTCTCTCTCTCTTAATGGTAAGACATTTGAACACTCTCTCTCTCTCTCTCTCTCTCTCTGAAAGCTATTTGTTTTTCATTTGAAAAATCAAATGGGTCCTTTGAAGAAATAGCAATTTGATCACTTTAACGGCCGATGGCAATCTTTCAAAGTCAAACTCTAAGATGGCCGCCTTGCCGCCATTTTGTTTTTTTCTGATCAGCATCAAAATCAAACAGGCACAACTAGAGACCAAGTGGAACCTACATATGAATTTTGAGAGGGAGAGATCCATCCAGTACAAACTTTCAAAGTCAAAATCCATGATGGCCGCATTTCCACCATTTGTTTGTTGTTTTTTTCTTATCAGACCCAAAATCAATTGGGCACAACTTGGGGCAAAGGAGAACCTACATATGAAGTTTAAGAAAGATATATCCAGTACTTCTCTAGAAAAAGCGATGACAAACTTTCAAAGTCAAAATCAAAGATGGCCATCTTTCCGCCATTTTGTTTTTCTGATATGTACCAAAATCAAACTGGCACAACAAGAGACCAAGGGGAACCTACATATGAAATTTGAGAAAGATCCATCCATTCCTTTTAAAGAAATAACGATAACAAAAACAATTTACCGACGGACGGACCACGGACGCAAGCGATTTGAATAGCCCACCTATCAGATGGTGGGCTAAAAATGTCTATCACGAAGATAACGTCTTCAATCAAATACTTTTTGTACTTGATGGAATATATAACTTCATGTTAGTCTCTCTGCCATTTTGTATTTTGTTGCACCCGTGTAATGTATGAAGTGTGAGGTAATTTTTTCTATCTATAGTAACACCAGGGTATGACGGTTACCGATTCATCGATCAATACCCGAAGACAGGTGAGTGTCCTTCACGTTTTAACACAATGACTCACAGGTGGTTTATCGACTGGATTTACCTTGCACAGGTAAACAATTAGAAAATGGCGACCGTTGAAGACGTCAGGTAAAACATAGGTAAGATTTATATGGGCTACTAATCTGATGTTTCGTACATTCTTTCTCCGTTGAAAAGAAACATTTTACCTTCCACACGTACTAGTGACCCTAGCAGCGAATTGTTTTTACTGATTTTTTTATCCTGTTGTTGTGGCGGTGTACCATTTGATTGGTTCCGCGTTGCGAATGTCATACTATACCATACGGATTTGTTCTAGAATACAGTACACCGACAGTTTATGAACATATAGGTTTAGAAAAGAGAAATAAAAAATAGCCTATGCCTATCATGACCAAAACTATTCGTTAAGGACACCATATAACAATTATAAACTATAGTAATTATTATGAGTATGTATTACATTGTACGACATGGTCACGTGATCGTGTTTACATGTGTATGTATTTGGTGATTATCTGATGGAATTGGTGTGTAACAGGAGCGGGAAAATGCGCGTCGAGAACGGGGTTTGAATCCAGGACCTTCTGAACACTCGACTGATGCTCTACCCACTGATCTAAACTGGTCGTTGATGATCGACCCCGTCCAGTTCGCTACATTCCTCCCTCCTTATTTTTAGTCTTTGCCCCCAAAGACATCACATCTAACAACACAGGTTTGGATATCCCCTTGTTAAGCATTCACCTACTGCTTGAAACAAGGTTTGGTCACAGCAACAAATGTAACAGGAGCAGACAAAATGCGCGGCCAGACTAGGGTCCGAACCTGGGACCTTCCGAACTCCAGATGGATGCTCTACCTACTGAGCTAACTTGTGGGCGTTGATTGACCCCAGTCCAGTTCCACTACCAGTGTACTTATTTATATAACACTCATAGTAGGTACATTTACGGTTCAACGTTTAGCAAACTGAAAACTTTAATCTCATCAACAGGTCGCTCTTAGCTCGAATTCCCTCTGACACCTGGGGCCATCAGATTAGCAGCAATATTTTTCATATTGCCTGAGATGCAAATTATAAATATTCACACAACTGTATACATGTGTCATGAGTCACAATCCCTATCCCATTAAAATCCCCATGCACCATTGCCAGGCATCACAAACATCACACTCTCTACCCCCTACCATAAACAGGCATCACACTCTCTACCCCCTACCATAAACAGGCATTACACTCTCTACCCCCTACCATAAACAGGCATCACACTCTCCACCCCTACCATAAACAGGCATCACACTCTCCACCCCCTACCATAAACAGGCATCACACTCTCCACCCCCTACCATAAACAGGCATCACACTCTCCACCCCCTACCATAAACAGGCATCACACTCTCCACCCCCTACCATACACTTTCCACCCCCTACCATAAACAGGCATCACACTCTCTACCCCCTACCATAAACAGGCATCACACTTTCCACCCCTACCATAAACAGGCATCACACTCTCCACCCCCTACCATAAACAGGCATCACACTCTCTACCCCCTACCATAAACAGGCATCACACTCTCTACCCCCTACCATAAACAGGCATCACACTCTCTACATAAACAGGCCCTACCATAAACAGGCATCACACTCTCTACCCCCTACCATAAACAGGCATCACACTTTCCACCCCTACCATAAACAGGCATCACACTCTCCACCCCCTACCATAAACAGGCATCACACTCTCCACCCCCTACCATAAACAGGCATCACACTCTCCACCCCCTACCATAAACAGGCATCACACTCTCCACCCCCTACCATAAACAGGCATCACACTCTCCACCCCCTACCATAAACAGGCATCACACTCTCCACCCCCTAACATAAACAGGCATCACACTCTCCACCCCCTACCATAAACAGGCATCACACTCTCCACCCCCTACCATAAACAGGCATCACACTTTCCACCCCTACCATAAACAGGCATCACACTCTCCACCCCCTACCATAAACAGGCATCACACTTTCCACCCCCTACCATAAACAGGCATCACACTCTCCACCCCCTACCATAAACAGGCATCACACTCTCCACCCACTACCATAAACAGGCATCACACTCTCTACCCCCTACCATAAACAGGCATCACACTCTCCACCCCCTACCATAAACAGGCATCACACTCTCCACCCCCTACCATAAACAGGCATCACACTCTCCACCCCCTACCATAAACAGGCATCACACTCTCCACCCCCTAACATAAACAGGCATCACACTTTCCACCCCCTACCATAAACAGGCATCACACTTTCCACTCCTACCATAAACAGGCATCACACTCTCCACCCCCTACCATAAACAGGCATCACACTCTCCACCCACTACCATAAACAGGCATCACACTCTCCACCCCCTACCATAAACAGGCATCACACTCTCTACCCCCTACCATAAACAGGCATCACACTCTCCACCCCCTACAATAAACAGGCATCACACTCTCCACCCACCCATCTATCTCCATTTTAATTGTTAGTGTATGCTTCATGATATGTTTGACCCACCTGACATGTACAGGGACAGCTGCCTTCCATGACAAGTGTACAGTGACATCCATCTTACTGGACACTTGCACAGTGACACATAGCTTATCATAAAAGTGACAAGGACACCTGTCTTATCATAATAGTGACCGGCACCTGTCTTATAATAGTGGCAGGCACCTGTCTTATCATAATAGAGACAGTGACACCTGTCTTATCATAATAGAGACAGTGAAACCTATTTTACTTTGGAACAGTGACATCTGTTTTTACCATGGTACAGAGATAACTCATACCTGACACCTTTACAGAGACACCTGTCTTCCCATGGTACAATGATAACTACCTTAACTTGGTACAGTGTCACATATCTTACTTTAGAACAGTAAGTGGTAACACATGTCTTACTGTGATATGGTGACACATGTCTTACTTTAATACAGTAAGTGGTGACATGTTTTACCTTGGTATGGTGATACATAACTAGCTTTAGTGCAGTAAGTGATGACATGTCTAGCTTTAGTACAGTAAGTGATGACACATGTCTAGCTTTGGTGCAGTAAGTGATGACACATGTCTAGCTTTAGTGCAGTAAGTGATGACACATGTCTAGCTTTAGTGCAGTAAGTGATGACACATGTCTAGCTTTGGTGCAGTAGGTGATGACATGTCTTTTCTTGGTATGGTGATACATGTCTAATTTTAGTACAGTAAGTGGTGACACATGCCCTACCTTACATACATGTTTTTAAATGGAGTAGGTGAAATGACACCTAAAATAGGATACTACCTAGAGATATTATGTCATTAGGAGACATGCGCTTTGAAATCCTTGGAACTTGAGAATTGGGGACAAAAGATGCATTGTAATTTGTAGAACTAACAGATAAGAGCATGGAAAATAGGAAGGACTTTTTTAAGCACTGAGAAGCCCATTTCCATCTGCAGAATGAAGTTTTTATAATGTGTACGGTAACTGACATGTAACAACATATACAGTGAAAAGATTCCTTTTACCTTTGCAGAATATTGTGGACAATGTAAGAGAGAGAAACAGAAGCATGTTTTTGGTATGGAAAACACCCATATGGGTGCTGCTGTTGACCCCCTTAGGAATCACTGCTCAATGGGCCAATTGGCAGAACCAAAACCCACAAAATGATAAGGAAAACTGTAAGTATTCTGTTGTTCTGTTCTTAAAAAATTGTAAAGCTAAAATCTAAGGGTCATATATGTATAATGTAACAATTTATCTGTGATCATGATGATGTATGGTGATTAACGTAGGATTAGTGATGATTACTTACTCCTGGGATTCTCACGTGTTTCCTATCTACATGTATATACCAGGCATCTGTGCTAGGCTTGCTCGTAGGTATTCATGATCACAATGTATATGTATTGCAAAACCAATCAGAAATATGTTTTAAATCCTTCATAGATTGTAAAACTGAAAACAAACAAAAAAACAAAAAATATATTAAAAGTTCTTCTCAACATGGAATCTTATTATTCTAATACAAATTACATGCCTGGAGGTGGATGTGAAATTTTTGCTCAGTGATGAGTTCTTTATTTACAAAATGACAATTGTCTTTTATCCTTTCTGTATTATTGTATATCTGTTTTCACAGTTTACCTGGACTCAAATGCCGAGTGTAATAAGCAGTATGACCTTGGAGAAAATAATGCATACCTACATGGCCTGGGTGCTCTGATGGAGCAGCACCCACCCAAAACTTGTCAGATCACATTTAGCTCTGATAATATCCGTGAGAAACGCAAGTTCAGGATAGAGGTCGTTAGTGCCAACTTCAATGCAGAAGGAGTCGAATTTTATATATACGACAGTTCTACAACTGATTCTTTACTGGTAAGTACTAACATGTAGAACAAATTTGTAGTCTGATCACATGGATTTGGCACAAATTCTCAACCCAAGGTCCATATATATGTATTATAGTCACTATATTACATATACATATATATATATATATGGACTGTGGACAGAGAATTCATGCCAAATCACTGTGGTCAGGATTTACAACATTTACATGTGAAAATTAATGATGAATAAAGATAAACCATAGTGGAGACAAAATGGAATGGACTGGATTTCTGTTACAGCATGAATATTATTGTAGTCAATTTAACAAGCTGACTGTATACTTACAGAAACACAAAAGGGATTGGCTTGATAAAACTATTAACATTGTACAGTAAAAAAGTTCCATATGAAAAATGTTGGGACATATAACTTGGGTAGAAGAAAACACAACTTTAAAATGAAAATTGCAAATTAAGCCAAACTTCTTTGTTAGGGGTATATTGGCAGTAAAGAATTACATGGCTTAATATTGCATTGACAGATCAGTGAAATAAAGAACATTGCACTGATCCTCTTTCCTAGAAGTCAGAGTGCTTTTATCAGATCAAATATCGTACATGAAATACAGATTTTTTTGGTGTTGAATATTTTTGATCTGATAATAACTTAATCATCAGTTGCTGTTCTTTCTGTTCAGTATGGCTTTGGGTTCAGAAGGGACAAGCCTGCCAACTTTCAACCACTGTTTACCTCAGGAGGATTTGTGACCTTCAAGCTTGTTAAAGCTGATGAAAGTCTAGCCGACTACAACATAAAATGTCACATCGTTAGTGTTCCAGGTAAGAATGCTGTTAAACAATAGGTCGATTACATAGTAATCTCATTTCAAATACATGTATTTCAATAAAGGCAACTAAAATTTCAAACTAATTGAGTCACAAATCTGTTGAAAATATGCATAGCCAATAAATTAGTACTTTCTTAAGGGTGTACTGTTTTTGTCAGTAAATAAAAAGAACTCTTTTTCAATGCAGGTGTAACTCTGAATGATCAACTCTCTAAATTTTTGAAGTGCCTTAACCTGTAACATGTACCTGGTATCATTGTTATCTATAAATATGTGATTTTCTTTCTACTTTTCTTTTGTAACAGGTGATGTAAGCATAGTGGATGAGTGTCCGGGTGGAGATGGACCTGGATGTAATTACTATTTCTACCAATCTCCCATCACGAAGGAAATCATCATTGGTATAGTTGGGGGTGTGTTTGGACTCATTCTTTTTATCATTGCACCCATTGTCATCATCTGTTGCTATCGTAAATCAAAGGGAGTGAACCGGCGATGGGACGAATTTAAGCTTGGCCAGGCTAACACCGCTGCAAACATCAGCAGCTCCAAAGGGAGTGTGCGGGCAACTTCAAATGATACAAAAACCAAATTGTGGGCATCACAGAGCTCCAAAATGGGTGTATCTAGTTACAAGCCACCTCGTAGCAGGGGAAGGCTGACTGAGGATGAAGACAGTGTCTTTGATGGTGAGTATTTAAAATATCAGTTTAAATTTGCTTCCAAATTCAGATCACCTGATATAACATAAATGGAGTAATTATCATCCCAGTTTTTAGATAGATGGTGGGTTATTCAAACCGCCCTGTGTCCGTGGTCCGTTGTCCGTCCGTAAACAATTCTTGTTACCGCTATTTCTGGAAAAGTACTGGATGGATCTTTCTCAAATTTCATATGCAGTTTCCCCTTGGTCCCTAGTTGTGCATTGTACCTTTTTTGGACTGATTCGAATTCAAGATGGCCGACAGGTGGCCATCTTGGATTTTGGAAGTAAAAGTTTGTTACCGCTCTTTCTGAGAAAGTACTGGATGGATCTTCCTCAAATTTCATATGCAGTTTCCCATTGGTCCCTAGTTGTGCATTGTACATTTTTTGGACTGATTCGAATTCAAGATGGCCGACAGGCAGCCATCTTGGATTTTGGAAGTAAAAGTTTGTTACCACTATTTCTTGGAAAGTACTGGATGGATCTTTCTCAAATTCCATATGCAGTTTCCCCTTGGTCCCTAGTTGTGCATTGTACCTTTTTTGGACTGATTCGAATTCAAGATGGCCGACAGGTGGCCATCTTGGATTTTGGATGTAAAAGTTTGTTATCGCTATTTCTTAGAAAGTACTGGATGGATCTTTCTCAAATTTCATATGCAGGTTCCCCTTGGTCCCTAGTTGTGCATTGTACCTTTTTTGGACTGATTCAAATTCAAGATGGCCGACAGGTGGCCATCTTGGATTTTGGAAGTAAAAGTTTGTTACCACTATTTCTTGGAAAGTACTGGATGGATCTTTCTCAAATTTCATATGCAGTTTCCCCTTAGTCCCTAGTTGTGCATTGTACCTTTTTTGGACTGATTCGAATTCAAGATGGCCGACAGGTGGCCATCTAGGATTTTGGAAGTAAAAGTTTGTTACTGCTATTTCTTGGAAAGTACTGGATAGATCTTTCTCAAATTCCATATGCAGTTTCCCCTTGGTCCCTAGTTGTGCATTGTACCTTTTTTGGACTGATTCGAATTCAAGATGGCCGACAGGTGGCCATCTTGGATTTTGGATGTAAAAGTTTGTTATCGCTATTTCTTAGAAAGTACTGGATGGATCTTTCTCAAATTTCATATGCAGGTTCCCCTTGGTCCCTAGTTGTGCATTGTACCTTTTTTGGACTGATTCAAATTCAAGATGGCAGACAGATGGCCATCTTGGATTTTGAATGTAAAAGTTTGTTACTGCTATTTCTTGGAAAGTACTGGATGGATCTTTCTCAAATTTCATATGCAGGTTCCCTTTGGTTCCAAGTTGTGCATTATACCTTTTTGGACTGATCCAAAATCAAGATGGCTGACAGGCAGCCATCTTGGATTTTGAGAGTAAAATCTTGTTACTGCTATATCTGAGGAAGTACTGATGGATCCTTCTGATATTTCATAGATATTGGTTTCCCTTGGTCCCTAGTTGTGCATTGTACCTTTTTTGGACTGATTTGAAATCAAGGTGGCCCACAGGCAGCCATCTTGGATGTCGACAGTAATACAGCACAAGCATATTGTCCATTATCCACCTGTTACTGACTGCTATCTCATGATACTTTGGGATCTTTTTCAAATGATATTTGCTAATAGGTGCTTAATAAAAATATCTTGTGCCATCATTGAGTACATTCAATGAAGACCAGTTCATGAACATTTACAACACCTGTAACAAACAAAAAAACAAATCTTCAAGAACTGAAAACAGATCCTCAAATGGTGGGCGCCAAGATCCCTCTGGGATCTCTTGTTAAGTGTTGCTATTTTCATCTAAAGATTGTCTGTGAGATATTAAACTGGCAAAATTTTGTTCAGAAAGAATAAGTGCATGCTCTTCATCAGCAAAAATATAACAGAACTAAAATGAGATATTCTGTGCCAAATGGTGAATTTTTTTGGGAGTAGCTAAATTAAACCTGTTATTCCTTATTGCATACACCCATAAACATATGATTGACAACATAAACTTGAATATAAGATGTATATTTTCGGCAAAACTAAATTATTGAAATCTGAATCAAATGATCAAGAGAAAAAGAACTTATATTTAATGTAATTGAATTGATAACTTATTGAAATGAAAGTAAAGATAAACCCTTGATATAACCTTAAAAATTTGGTAATTCTTACTGTAGATGGCCCTCCAAGAAGTTACCCTCCACCACCTCCTCCTTATGAACGGTATGACAGGTCAGCTCGACGAAATAGAGATGACTATGATGGACGCAATCGAAGGCATGATCGTTATGACAGCAGAGATGAAGAATATGAGACAAAAGACAGATATAGAGACAGGAATGATGATCGATTTGATCGACGGCCTCGGAGAGAAATGGACAGGAGACGTAGAGATTCTTCTCCAAGACGATCATTTTACTCCGATTCTAATTCTGAAATGGAGTCCTCATTTGTACAGGCAGAAGATGATCACCCTCAGGAAAGATTTGTCGAGAGGATAATCGAGCCTCGAGTTAAGACTAAAGCTAAAGTCAAGAAACCAGTTGAAGAGGATGTGTATGATGAATTGAGTGAGGATGTAGAGGCAATAAAAAATAGCAGTGTTCAGTGTGGACCATCAGATGATGAAGATGAATCAAACACAGAGACCACAGGTGATGAAACAACAGAGACAGAGTCAGACACAGACAGTGAGAAAAAGGAAAAAGATCCCAGAATGGCTTTATATTCAAAACCAAATAAAAAGGGGAAAGTTAAAAATGGTAATGCAGTGCAGTCACAGCCGGATGCAGTTGTGAATGTGCCTGGTCCAGTCATGCTTGGCCCAACAAGTCATCCGATGATTGGGCAGCCAATGATTGGTCACCCGCTGACCACAGCTAGGCCTCCGATACCTGGAGTTGTGGTGAGACCAGTAACACAACCACAGTTTGCTCCGGGTCATTACCCTCCCATGATGAGACCAGGAGTTCCAATGCAGCCTGGTCAAATGCAGTTTAGACCAGTGCAGCAACCAAACTATCCAGCAGCTCGACTGCCACAGTCACAAGTTCCACAAAAGTCCCAGCCTCCAAGCAATCCCCGTGTGGCTTCCAATCCACCTCCAGATCCCCCAATGTATTCCTACCTGGTCCAGCGTGGGTACACAGGTAGATATTCACCAGCCAGTTCAGGAACAGGGATGAGTAGTGATGCCCATGTGCTTAATCTTACAGATGACTCCGAGGGTGGGGCTAACCTCCCTAGTGGTGTTGACCTTATGAAAAGGACCACTGATGTATAACCCAAAAGAAATAGAATGCCTTTGTATAGAAGCAGAAGCCAAAGGGACTGTTTCAGATTTTACCCAAAGTACTGGAACCAGTCTAGGAAACTTTATTTGTAATCAAGTCTACTTGACAAGGTTCAGACAAATCAGTGAAGTTTTAGCCATTTTTTTAGTAACAGCGGCAATGTTTAACCTCATGAAAGATATATTTATCATGATTTTACGTATACGAGAAATTTTTATTTTCTCAGAAAATCTTTTGCCAATTATGTAAAGAAAATGATTTATGAGTATTGGTTGTACATTTTTTGTTCTAATTCATAACTTCTATATATAACAGGAGATCGTAGAAAAATTAAAGCATTGCTAGTATTAAATATATACATGCCATATTTCCATAATTTTAATCTCACAAATGAGAAAAAACTATTTAACCGTTGCAATCTGTTTTTTTTTATTCTTAGTTGTTGCAATATTGTACAATAAATGACTCACGCAACCTCAGGAGATATCACCTTCTTGGGTTTATAAATCCTTGTTTTCACCTGAAAACAGGTAAATCATTGTTTTATCTTATGACAACAATCCTCCACTTCTGATTGGTCGAAAAATTACAGCACAGGTAACTGGTTTGTAATATTGACCTATGAGACACACAACAGGGTTTTGGACTTGTATTCACCTTGAAGGCACAGATTCTACCTGTTTCGGTGTAACACCACGATATAATTTGACATATTAGAGGTGTTTTGACCAATCAGCATGTAGGAAAATTGACAGTCACATAATAAACTAGAATAGTGTAAATTTGTATAGTTTGATTGTATGTAATTAGTCTTGTATCTACTTTTTGATGTAAAGTATACATAAATGTTGGATTCCTTTTCATTTGGGCAGACATAGAAAGCATATAAAAGTTAGACTTAATGTTAACAAATGTACACCCTCATTCATGAAAATTATTCCCATACATGCTGTGTGGTAACTTTTCGTCTTTCCTTTCATGTGGATGGCAAATTTATCATGAAATGGAATGTTCATATAAAAATCAGTGATAATATGTACATACATATCTAATAAGCAGTGAAACAATTTTACACAAATTATGTAAATCTTGAAATCAAAACTGATATTATTATTAAAAACAAATTGACAACTTTTATGAGGATATTTTTAGATGTCTGTCAGATAGGAAGGAAAGGAAACTATAGGGTGTGCCATTAACACAAAGATTGCAAACAAACTTTAAACATGCAATTTCCTATGCTTTTGAAAATCACAAATGTTTCCAACATTTACAATGGTAGGTAGCACTACAAAATACAACAAAAAACAGATATGTTCTTTTTAAAAAATATTCCTATCAGAAAATGTAAGAGACTTTTGACAATAAAACAATATTTGACCCATAATAATAGGGAATCAGAAGATCAGACATGTGAAAGACAGTTCTTTGTTGAATTCCTACCTCCTGAGTGATTTACCTATCGACATGAGTGACAGATTTGTAAAAAGTGCATTTTGTAAACTGACTAGATGCTGTATCTCAGTTTCCTGTACTGTGATAAAAGATGAAATGTTTACTATTTCACAAACATCATTGAAATTCATGCATAATCATTCTGATCTTATCAAAATGTTTAATAGACTTGTAATCCCAGCCTCCACAATTCATGTGTTACAGCACATCTTAGATGAGTGGTCAGTGCAAATCTTAATTTTGATTAGAAGTCAATCTTAACAAATATGAAGTGCTTATCCTATTTACTGTAATTAAGGTAAATGTCACATTAAACATTATAATGTAAAGTTCAATGTTTTAGATATTTTTATACTTAATTGTTACAGATGTTTCTATAATCAATCACCTGTTCCCTCCTCTGATAAATTGGTCCAGGTAAATACAAATTATTTCACCGTGTATATATTATATATAAACGTAATAAAGATTTTTTTTTAATAAATTGTGTTTTTGTCTTGATATCATTAGACATTTCTGAAAATCAGGTCAAGCTTGAACTGACGAGTGTTTGTGAAAATGGATAATTGAACTAAAAAGAGGTTTTGGGATGTGGGATCTGTGCCACATCCTCAAATTACCATGGTCAATTCCTCAAAGTCTTAAATGTTTGTCGCAATTTACACCAAAAAGATGAAATACATGGTTCAGATATCCATATTCCAAAGAAACTTAAATTCCTGATGAGGTTAGAACAAATTTTCTGAGGTGCTGGACCATGAAATATGGAAGATATTTGGACCTATACTTTTTGGATCTAACTGCAAAATTAAAAATCAAATGCTGATGGCCATTGGAAAAGTAGCACCATTGTCTTCCTTTTGTTATGGTTCATTACAGGCAAGTGTGCAACCACTACATTAGTAAAAAGGTGTACCTATAAAAATAACATTGCAACCTCATGAAACAAGAGGCCCATGGGCCTTAACGGTCATCTGACAAAAAGCAAGCCAAACCTAGAAAGTGGGTTGAGGTCATTCATTTGAACAAACTTGGTAGCCTCTCCTCCAAGCATCTTACAGGCCCAATATCAGCACTCATGGACTTTAGCTTGTTGAGAAGAAGTCGTTTGTATATTTTAACATATTTGACCCCTGTGACCTTGAAAGTGGGTTGAGGTCATTCATTTGAATAAACTTGGTAGCCTTTCCTCCCAGCATGCTACAGACCCAATATCGGCACTCATAGACTTTTGCTTATTGAGATGAAGTCCTTTGTATATTTTAACATATTTGACCCCTGTGACCTTGAAAGTGGGCCAAGGTCATTCATTTGAACAAACTTTGTAGGGCTCAATGCCAGCATGCTATGGGCCAAGTATTAGCCCCCTAGGCCTTCTAGTATTTGAGAAGAAGTTATTTAAAGATTTTGACATATTTGACCCCTGCGACCTTGAAAGTTGTTCAAGGTCATTCATTTAAATAAACTTGGTAACCTTTCCTCCCAGCATGCTACAGACCCAATATCGGCACTCATAGACTTTTGCTTATTGAGATGAAGTCCTTTGTATATTTTAACATATTTGACCCCTGTGACCTTGAAAGTGGGCCAAGGTCATTCATTTGAACAAACTTTGTAGGGCTCCATGCCAGCATGCTATGGGCCAAGTATTAGCCCCCTAGACCTTCTAGTATTTGAGAAGAAGTTATTTAAAGATTTTGACATATTTGACCCCTGTGACCTTGAAAGTTGTTCAAGGTCATTCATTTAAACAAACTTGATAGCCCTTCATCCCAGCATGCCACAGGCACAATATCAGCAATCTGAGCCTTTTGGTTATTGAGAAGAAGTTGTTTAAAGATTTTAACATATTTGACCCCTGTGACCTTTAAAGTGGGTCAAAGTCATTCATTTGAACAAACTTGGTAGTCCTTCATCCCAGCATGTCACAGGCCCAATATCTACACTCTGAGCCTTTTGGTTAATGAAAAGAAGTTGTTTAAAGATTTTAACATATTTGACCCCTGTGACCTTGAAAGTTGGTTGAGGTCATTCATTTGAATAAACTTGGTAGCCTTTCCTCCCAGCATGCTACAGACCCAATATCGGCACTCATAGACTTTTGCTTATTGAGATGAAGTCCTTTGTATATTTTAACATATTTGACCCCTGTGACCTTGAAAGTGGGCCAAGGTCATTCATTTGAACAAACTTTGTAGGGCTCCATGCCAGCATGCTATGGGCCAAGTATTAGCCCCCTAGGCCTTCTAGTATTTGAGAAGTTATTTAAAGATTTTGACATATTTGACCCCTGCGACCTTGAAAGTTGTTCAAGGTCATTCATTTAAATAAACTTGGTAGCCTTTCCTCCCAGCATGCTACAGACCCAATATCGGCACTCATAGACTTTTGCTTATTGAGATGAAGTCCTTTGTATATTTTAACATATTTGACCCCTGTGACCTTGAAAGTGGGCCAAGGTCATTCATTTGAACAAACTTTGTAGGGCTCAATGCCAGCATGCTATGGGCCAAGTATTAGCCCCCTAGGCCTTCTAGTATTTGAGAAGAAGTTATTTAAAGATTTTGACATATTTGACCCCTGTGACCTTGAAAGTTGTTCAAGGTCATTCATTTAAACAAACTTGATAGCCCTTCATCCCAGCATGCCACAGGCACCATATCAGACCCCTGTGACCTTTAAAGTGGGTCAAGGTCATTCATTTGAACAAACTTGGTAGTCCTTCATCCCAGCATGTCACAGGCCCAATATCTACACTCTGAGCCTTTTGGTTAATGAGAAGTTGTTTAAAGATTTTAACATATTTGACCCCTGTGACCTTGAAAGTGGGTTGAGGTCATTCATTTGAATAAACTTGGTAGCCTTTCCTCCCAGCATGCTACAGACCCAATATCGGCACTCATAGACTTTTGCTTATTGAGATGAAGTCCTTTGTATATTTTAACATATTTGACCCCTGTGACCTTGAAAGTGGGCCAAGGTCATTCATTTGAACAAACTTTGTAGGGCTCAATGCCAGCATGCTATGGGCCAAGTATTAGCCCCCTAGGCCTTCTAGTATTTGAGAAGAAGTTATTTAAAGATTTTGACATATTTGACCCCTGTGACCTTGAAAGTTGTTCAAGGTCATTCATTTAAATCAACTGGGTAACCTTTCCTCCCAGC